TCAGAGTGACAATAAGAAAGAACAGTGTAAAGCATTGCCAGGTAGAACTTTATATTGTATCATGGATGTTGGGTTGGTTTTGTGATGAGGATGTGATGAGGATGTGATGAGGATTTGAGGTAATGTATAATTTCGAACAAATTCTGTTTCAGCTCCAGAGAGAGTTTGACAGCACTCTTCGAATGAGCCCAGAGGAGATGAAAATCAAGAAAAAAACAAAGAAGATTAAGAATAAAGAAAAGGTACTGTATGCATTTAAAAACATAATCATGACTTTATAACTGCTATATATGTTGCATTTTTATACTGATGAAAATTACCTTTTTAAATCTACCCAAAGAAGGCCTTGAAGCAGAATGAAAAGAAGTCACCAATTTGTTTCCTCTCTCAAAAAATGCCTTTCGTCGCTGGAACGGTACGTGTGGTTTATGACTTATAGAAACACTTCCCAGTTGGTTTTTAGGGTATTTGAGGACCACATGCAATAGCACAGCATAAGAAGACAAATATATATACGATGGCAACTGTCAGATTAGGCAACTAATAACCCATGCGTGCTGTCCATATGGGTAATGGCAGTAAATAGCCCAACTGGAAAGTTGCATTTATACTGCCTACAGTACAGCTAAAGAAAAATTTACATAACTGAATTAAGTGCAAGAATGACATTACCATGTACTTTGAATAACAAGGAGACTTTCATACACACTATAAAACTTAAATGCATGTTTTTCTAGTCGATCAGCCCCAGTCATTCAGTCCACGCCAATGTCCAGAGTGTCCTTCACATGATGAAGCACCACCAGCCTCAGCTGCACGAGCGAGTGTCTCTGCTGCACAGGTCTGTGGATGGAGCCAGAAGGAGTCTACAGAAAGACACAGCTGGCTCTGTGCTCCAAAGACACAGTGAATCCAGTGAATCTGAGGAGTCTCTGGGCTCCCTCTCCGACCTGCTCTTAGCTCTTCAGGATGAGCTGGGACAGATGAGCTTGTGAGTGCAAAGTCCAATACAATCTGTAAAAACACTGGGATTCTCCTATTTGCTATGTGGACTGTTTTTGTATGTTAACAACAGTGAACACCGGGAATTAATACACCAAATTGACAGTACACATGACCATAAGAACAGGCAGGACCTGAAAAATGAATTAGAACGACTGGTCACAAAGATGGAGGAGAAAGGAGCTCAAATCACCAAACTCCGCAAGCACCAACAGATGGTTTGTGATGTCTTTGTATTTACTTGTGATTAAGACATACTTTAAAAAAAAATCTGTATGTTAAGTCTATAATTTTGTTAATAATTATACATTTAAAACAAAACAGAACAGTTATTTTTGGTGTAAGGCAGTGTGAAATATTATTTGCCCAAATCACTTTTGGTTTATGATTACTGCTTGTTGTGTTCTGGTGACATTTATCCTTTTGTGTGTTTTCGCTGCACAGATTCATAAAATGGCTGAGAGCCAAAAGCACACCTCACTTTGTGGAGAGACTCTGAAGGCACCCATGATCCACCCTCCAGCTCCGTCTCCTGTTAAACCCACAAAAAGACCCCAAAAACAGCCTAGTAATAACCTGCAGCTCCTCAGAGAGACCCAGCAGTTTCGCAACTTTCTCAAACAGAGCGACCTCTTCTGGGAGACCTGAAGAGGGCAGTCTAATCCCAAGGCTCAGCCCTGTCTGTAGACTGCTGCCAACAAGGACCAATGTCTTGCTTCATGACATAAAATTAAGATTTCAGTTGTTTTTATGCTTCATTTTAATTCAATTATTGGCGTGTTTGTAGCAAGCTGCAAGTTTAATATATTATGAACTACTGACTGTTAAGAACGCATATCTTCTTAGGTCATGCAACTTTTTTTTTTTTTTTTATTTAATGAAGTGTATTAATTCCTTTGCCTAAGTAGTTTCAAGATGTGGAGGAAGACAGTGATTGTAGGATCTGAAATCTGTTGTAGGACTTTTGAAAATTATTATCATATTTTGTAGCAGTAAATAAATATATTAGTCTCCATGAAATATTCAAAATAAAAGTGCACCCGTCTTTAAAAGTTGTTGACGTGACTAGTTCATACTGCGACTCCCCACTAGAGGTCAGTGTTCTATATGATATGCATAAGCTACTGGTAATAATCAGACAATTAAGAGGCAAAGTTCAAGCTCAGATATCCTGTTTTACAACTTGTGGGAAGTGTAACGTCACACTTTTTTGTTTAACGAATATTTTCTGATCATTTACTGTCACAAAACTTTCATTTTCCTCTAAAGTGCATTATGCATCACACCTTTAACCTAGATAATTATATGACAAGACCAAAACATGCTACACAGGTCTCCAGGAAGAATAGCTAAGGTCAATCAATTAACCTGCCCAGGGACTACAGGTGGAAATTAGCACTGGTGCTACAACCTGGTACAATGCATTTCTCCTATTAAAGTGAATGTATATTGTGAACTGGCCCTGTCTCCTTAAGTAAATACTAATAATAACTAAAATAAACTAAACCAAACACTGGTGTAAGCAGTGTGACTCATGAAACACTATCACATGTCTTCAAGACTCTTAACAGTCTAAATATGCCCTTTAACATTGTGACATCTTTAGTGTTTCTTCTGCGAGTGGCTCCAAGTTGGAGGGGAAAACTGCAAAGAATAAAGGCCTCAAAGGATATGATAGTTGTGGTTCTTTGATTTGCAGAACTTGTAGAGAAAAAAAAGGGACAGCTTGAATACCCAGGACCAGGACTATACCACAAACTTGCAGCGTCAAACGTGTTATGATGGGGCTCGGCAGTCGGAATGAGACTTGTAGTTGCATTAAAGGGAGCTCAAACAGGTGAAAAAGATACACAACAATTCAATTAAATATACTGGTCAAAGAACAATTTAATAGTTTTACAATGTAGCTTTAAGGGATTTACTAGCACTCTACAGACAAAAAATAACCCAAATCTTTTATTCCAACTACATAAGTCTTGCCCACAATTTGAAAAAAAAAAAAAAAAGTTTTCTATTATGGTAATTTTTCATAGTAGATCATGCTTTTAAGTAAGGAATTAGATTTTTTAACTTAATCGCCATTAATCTAATTAGTATCCACAAATGTGTATGTGTATTCTGAATTACACGTTTCCTAGTACTCTAGTGCTGAACTGAACATTATGCTTTGGAAACAAAATAAGTTTAGGTTTATCGGATGGAAAACAGCTGATTTTGTTGTCCCTTTGCCCAGCCCACATTTCTCAGTTCATTATCAAGCAGACATTACTTGGTCTGGTATTTTCTGCATGACTGTCAAGGACCTCCAACACTTAAGACCTCACCACTTGGTTTAACAGACTGAGAGCAGCTTAACATATTGCATTGTTTCTCTGTGCTCTCATATTAGATTACACAGCATGACTGGACATGGCAATCAGGTTAGCAAGACCTCTCCTGACTTTTCATAGCTATTCTCAGGCTTGCAATGACTATGAGGGGTAGATATACCAAAATGTAGTCAAGACGATATGATAAATATGATCATAGATGTCTTGCAACAAAATTGTAACTTGTTCCACTAAAATACTACTACTATTCTATATGAAGATTGTGAAATTAAAGGTTGGGTTGGATTGGCTCTATTTTTGCATTCTAATATAGACTTAAGCCAGGACACCTCAAACTAAACCAGATATATGTCACCCAAAACAAAGCACAGAAAGTCCAAACAGGAAAATTCAGGAATAAAATTGTCTCAAATTGTAACTAAATAATTAGTGAGGATTTCAGGACAGCAAAATTCCCAAATTAACATTTTACCTCCTCAAAAAATAAACATGATCAACACCTTTATGCTATTGCTAAGAAAGGAGGGCCTGAATTTGATACCTTATTTTTCTTACCACTCAAATGTTGCGATGGCAACGAGGCTCAAGAACGTCCCACTTGTGATTTGTCATGTAAATTATGCAACCTCTAAGCTCCAAGGAAGTGGCCACTGCAAATGAAGCATAACGCACACGAATGTTTTACAATATTCAACTTTAATGATTCAACATTGTCAAACTAAGCAACATTAAAACAAAAAGGGCAATCATTTAGAAGATATATGGAAATCTCAAATAAAGCAGAACCAGGAGGCATTGTGGGATCTGTATTCCACACATATGGCTGTGAATGTCATATTTGGGCCTAGAGATTGTACCAGGGAAATACAAATCAACACACTAAAATGGGTTTTGACCATACAAACTGGACATGCCCGTGTGAATTAACACATTGTACTACACAGAAAAAGTGAACGTTATGGAGTAGTACCATTGGAAGTGTGATAATATTGCAAATGAGTTTAATAAGTAAAAAAGTAAGTTTCATGTGCATCACAATAAATTATGTTGGAAAAATGTGAACATATTTTACTCAGTTTTATATATTTAGGATTATTCAACGTAATCAAAAGAAATCCTTCACTCTGTTCACTAAATGTAAATGGTGTAGTTTTTATTATATTAAAATACGTATAGGCATACAATAATTTTTTTCTATTCTAATTTATTGAGATGCACTTGTACAGGTATAATACTTATGATCCGACCAAAACAACTTGCAAGTGGACCGCATGGTGAAAGTGAAATTAACAATGACCATAAACTGAGCAACACCAAAATCATTTAAATCTAAAAGTGCCAAGTCCTATAATACAAGTGTTAGTTGTAGCATATCATTTTACATTCTACATTCTCTATTTTAACTGAATAAGGCACTTCTCCATAAGGGACTGAGTAACTTGTAGCTGCAGTGGATACGACAATTGGTCTCTATGGTGCTGGGGATGTTTTGTGGCACCACTTGTCAACATGTGATGCTGTGAATTTGTGGAATGTAACTGGGATATTCAAAATGGAGAGAGCTCACAAATCACCAGTGGATACTTAGAGTACCTTTTAAGTGTTTTTAAAATGTATCTTTGCGTGTTGTTGCAGCTAAGGCAAAACTCTGGCCTGTTGTCTTGGGCTGACTCTAATGCCCCTAAGTGAATGTGAAAGATAAAAGGCATTATGATAGTGAGCAGCAAAAACATGGCATCGGAAATTATCCAAGGCAACAAAAATTTAATTTGTGTTTTTAACGTTTGGCAAATAAAGGAACATAACTTCTTATTATTAGAAATATTCAAGGCTATCTTACAGGCAGCTAATTATTTAAAAAACAATCAACAAAAAGCTTGTCAGTGCAACACTTAATTTCCATGCCAGAACCGAGGACTTTGGTTTGATGCACAATGTTTCAAGGCAATATTTCATCTATAGCTCACAACACAAGTGGTTTATTACGTGTGTCTAAATGCCTATTAAGAGCATATGCAATGGGGGAATTACAACTCTCAACATTCAGCATGCAATAATCAAAAGGCAATAAACCAGGTAACATTCTTGACAATGACAAGCCATTAAAGCTAAAGACATACTCCTCTATTTCTCAATCTGAATGCAAAATAAAACAGAACATGGCTATCTACAAGAGGTCCATTTAACGTAAATCACAGTTAGCAGCAAGCTTCTTCAAGAATTAGACATGAGCTTAAGCTTGGCCACTTGATTGTTTTGCATTTTGTAATCACTTCTTCACTCAAGTCTGAAAAGTTATTATGTTACCAGTAAGGTACAATCTTTAGATGTTTCCACAGCACACAGCTAAAATGTCCCACCAACTCAATTTAGGTCAAAATTTACTATAACTATAACTAGAACAGCATAAATTGTAAGATGAGAGGACATTTGAGGTTGTGTGTACCTTATCTTTCACATGTATACAACTAATAGGCTTGCAAACTTCTCCTAAGATCTCTTCAATTATTGTTTACCATAATCTTCCATAAAAGCCATTTCAGTCCAGCTGGTTCACTACTAACACAAGCAATGTCATATAGAAGAAATATACCAATATTCACACAATACTTGGGTTCCAGGGGGACAACACTAGTTTCCCCTTCACTTGAAGTCAGACTGGACATTAAAAAGGCACTTCACTGCTGTTGCTGTCCACAAGGTGCGCACCACTTCCCCACTCTAGCACGCATGTTTACATTAGTGTTCCATTAAATGTTCTATACACTCCTTCCATTTGACCTGCAACAACTGTAGCCAGATAAAAATGTTGGGTTTATGGATCATGATCTGAATGTGTGGCTTATTGCACTGCAGTTGGTCAGTTGTTTGGCATTTATAAACAACTAGCATTTGCTGAATGGACAAACCCAAACGGCTAAACATCAAGGGAGACACTCACTGCAGTGGACCCTAAACTCCAACATGAAATGATTAGGTGCTGCTTTTAAGAAATCCTTCATTTTTTTCAGGGACTTTTCAAGTTTGACCAATTGTAATATAGTCTAAAAGCAACACAGAATCAGTATACTTGCTAAAGGGTAACTTTGAACTCAAACAGCATTTCCAAATTGAAAATTGATAAGCAAAAATAGTACACCATTGTAACTACACCTCTACTAAGCAGAACAGCTCCCCTTGAACCTGTAATTGTTTAACAGCTAATGCTATTTTTGAAAACCCGACTCCCGTTTAATATGCAAGAATGACTAATGCTATGATTGATGTGTACCGACAAGATGACGTATTCAATAATGTTTCAAGCTCCTCAACTGTGCAAATAAATATCATGCATGCAGCAGCAGCACTAAAATGACCTGTGAAAATGCTAAATAACTTGCTTGAAAAGACTGTTTGAGTCCATTATGTTTTCTTCTACGAGTGGCTCTAAGTTGGAGGGAAAAAGTGCAAAGAATAAAGGCCTCAAAGGGTATGGTAGTTGCGGTCCTTTGATTTGCAAAACTTGTAGAGAAAAGATGACAGCTTGAATACCCAGGACCAGGACTATTCCACCAATGAAACTTGCAGCGTCAAACGTGTTATGATGGGGCTCGGCAGTCGGAATGAGACTTGTAGTTGCATTAGAGGGAGCTAAAACAAGTGAAAAAGATACACAACAATTCAATTAACTATACTGGTCAAAGAACAATTTAAAAGTTTTAAGATGTAGCTTTAAGGGATTTACAAGCACACTACAGATCAAAAACAAATCTATTATTACAACTATATAATTCTTTATAATTATGTAAACACAAACCATAACAAAGTAAACTAATTAAGTACATAAGTCAGTCATGCACTCAGTCATAATCATTATAGCCATAATCATACCTGTAGTTGTAGTAGTAGACGTGGTATTGGTGCTATTACTTGGAGTAACAGAAGGAGTAACAGTAGCAGTGGAATTTTCTATAAACAAAATCAGAATAGTAAGCTGTTATAGAGACTGATCATTTTAAGGGAACCACCATCTTACTGTATGTATCTTTATATTATGCATGGTGTTTAAATTATGTTGGTCATTTCTATATTGTTATTGCAATTAATTTAAGAGGACCCCAGGAACACTAGTGGCCATTAAATGGGCAGCTAATAAGGATTCTAAAAAAACATTTAAAACAAAACTTGTTAGAGGCAGATTTGCAGACATCTGAGGTTACCTGTTGCATTATGAGTGGTGACAGTGGTAAACACTGTGGTCGTAGAGGGAGGAGGAGGAGCAGGGGTCTTGTGGGTAGTCGTGGGGGTAATGGATGGATCTGGGTCAACAGCCAGACAGGAAACCAACACCAAGCAAGGGAAGACACAAATACAAGTCCCCCAGACGAAGGTTAGAAAACACGACAAAACTCCCATGTTATTGCTTTAGCATAAGTAGGAAAACAGTCCACATACACCTCTTAATGTTAGAAAACAGAAGCCCAAAAATAACCCAATGAGCTAGATCCACAAAGACTCCACTTAGCTTGGCCAAAATAAAACGTGTGAACCCAGTGTGTTATTTTTTTAATCCACTTAAAAGCATTGAAACTTACCTGAGCAGGTAGCATTGGAACAGTTTTCTTCAGCCACGGTCTTGTTGACACAGCCAATTGCTGAATGAAAGAAAAAAAAAATGTTGATACATGTAAATGTCTGATTCTTATAAGCATATAAATTATGCTTAACATTATCCACATGACCTGCAATTAGCTAAATATAATAGTAAACCACAAGAGCTAAACTTACAACAGCCTTTAGCATAGGGAGGTACAATTTACTGAAATGATTGTGATTTTACTATATTCTAGGTTTAACCTGTTAGTAAAGCATTTACAGTGTGTCAGAGTTTCAGAGAATATACTGTTCATTATTTATTCCTCTGTTCTACATAAAGACGATTTACATTGTACAATGTGATTATTGATTAACTATGTCTGTGAGGGACTTTGGTCTTCCCCTCATCTGGCATGAATTCCTAGTGATAAAAGTGAATCATCCATTGAAATTGTATGTTTCCAGAAAATGTTTTAAAACATTTTGACACATGAGTAAACATGTGACAGCTCTTTAACCAACCAATAAAATTCACTTATAATTATTATATACTATTTTTTATTTATTTATTCTGGAGTCAAATTTGAATGGGTTAGGAAAACTTAATATGTCATATTCACCCTTAACTTGATAAACATGGGACTATTTGAACACTAAAAAGCCAAATGAAATCCACATATTTCTATAAATAGAAAAAAACAAAACTGTGTGGGTATATAGGTGACCTTTGAGCTCCACCCTCCCTCTCTCTGGGTTGGTGACTTATAACGAACATCTGGAGGATTACTGCCCAAACGTTAATGAAACACAGGGTGTGCCAGGTCCTTACAGTGTTGTACAGTAATATTAAATAGCCAGGCAGAAGACAGCTACCAGATGGCCCATGTGTCACAGACGGCTCAATGGTATGACAGCAGACATCATTGAGAAAAGAACCAATTCTTCTCTACACAAGGACAAATGTCTCACCTATGTTTTCCACAAACTTGACCTACCAGACTTCAATATCATAAAATAATGAAACAAAGGAAAAGAAATGCCCTAGTGAACAATAGGACTGGTTATCATTAAGAGGTTGCAAATACATAGGCAATGATATATATCTCAATACAGTGATACGATTCAGTAAAAAAATAAAGGCTTTTGGCCCCCTATTTAAAGCTCAAAAAAATATAAAACATTTTGCTGAACCAGTGCATTTTATTCAGGGCATGTTGCTAACTAGAAGAATAACTTATTCATCCATAGCTTATACACACTCAACATTTACTTGTATAAAAGGGACATGCTTAACTGCTGTAAAAGTTTACAAGAGAACTACTAAATCATGGTGGTGATACAAAAAGTGTTTGTTCAACCACTACCTCTATTAAGTTAATATGAAACACGCCCATTTTAATCATCAACAGTGACTATGTCAAACCTACTGCATAAACCAATTGTTTCCTTCCTCAAAACAAGCAACAAAATATCACAAAATCATTTGGTGAAATATATATCTATAAAATAAACAATATGAGCTATTGGTATTTTTGCTCACCCCAGTGAAGAATATGATAATAAATAACATAAAAGTCAAAACAATAAATGCATCTAATGACAAGCTGCATTGTATTTCAGGTGTTGTAATGTAATTTTATATCAGTAATGTAGAAGGTATTTTCACTTCCCTGTGGTCATGTTATCTCACATGCTGCTGTGAAAGTTGCAGCTGGCCTCAAACCTTTTCCAATATGATCATAAGGTAAGCATGGCACAAAATAAATTGCAACAGACTTGAAATAGCAATTTGAATAATAATCAGCCAAATGCAAAAGATTAAAATTGTGTCATTCACATCCAAGTAGAGAACAAAGAAATCGTATGTATTGAGCTTGCCAACTCTATACACATGTTCTGAAAAATGTGATTCTTTTATTGGGTGAGAAAATAATATTTCTTTATTAAAATAGTTTGTGGCAAGGAAAGTGTAGTTTAGAGATACTTGTAAAAAAAAAAAAATATATATATATATATATATATATATATATATATATATATATTTTTTTTTTTTTTCCCCCAATAGCCCACGTTATGTTCAGTACAGTGAGAAACATGCTACAATTTTTTAATTCATCCTTTTATACAATGTATCCTTACTTATAAAATAGTGGTTAACATTATAGTATATTATGTGCAGATGGAATGAGGTTAGTAGTTGTAAACCAGGTCAGCACTTCCTCAACAGCTTATCTGTCCTGTCCAACCACTCGTAATTGCACCATGTCCTGTTTTAACAATTGGGAGACAAACCCAGTAGAGGGAGTGGAGCAAACGAATATCATCATGACCAGAAAATCAAAGCGTCCTGTAGTGAGGCTGTCAAACAGGTTGTCTCCCAGAGGACGTAAGAGGATCTCTGACTCGGTCTTACAATCCAAGTAATCAGATCCTTTTACTTTTGCCTTTGGAGTTATCTGAATAAGTAATGGTAAACAACCAATGTCTAATGTATGTTTATAAAGAATGGGCAAGTTGAGCACAAATCCTTGTATTCACTCTTTTTCCATGCATCCCATACTTCCTTCCAAATACAGAACAGATTTCCTGCTGTGCATCCTTCCTTCTCATCTTCACAATCACAGCAATGAACAAAACAACCCAAAGGTCATATGGTGAAAGTGTGCAAAATTGGAAAGGTTAAAACCAGTTATAAGAAATACATGAAAACGGCAGAACTTTCCAAAAATGTATCTTATTATGATGTGCCTGTAAATGCCGACAAAAATAAAACATATACCCGATTTCTCAACACTTGATAGACAATGCTGAATGTATTGAATAAAACTGTAGAAATAGTTGTAAATGATCAACAGCATCATCAAGATTTAACCCAAATCCATCTCCTTGGTAAATCAGCCGGTCCAGACTCACAGGGGAGAGTTCCCAGATCTTTAAGCCTCACTTTGGTTTGGAGAAAGTTATGTTGAAGATGTTGAAGCTGCCTGCCTCTCATTCTCCACATGCCCTCAAATAAAGCACCTTATCAATTCAGCTTTGTCTTCATAATTAAGACAACATAAGGACCAACCTGTGTCCTACTCTGCTACAATTTTAGGTTGAATATCTGTCCATACAATGTGTTGCTGTGGCTTTTAAAGTTTATATACTTACTTGATGAGCAATTAGCCCATTGGCAGTCCATATTAGTTCCACATGTTTCACAATCATCGAGATTAGAACAATCTGTAAAAGTAAATATATAAAGACATAAATAAAATAAATAAAAAATAACATACTACAATTTGTTCTGTCTACAATATGGACTTGATGTTACAAATTGTACTGTACATTTTGTGCAGATAGAAGGCAAAGCTGTATCACATTGTGTAAAAAGGCCTAGTTAGAATTAGTAATGGTTGTTACAAAATACATTGCCTACATAAACATTGTTCTTTGTATTCATGCTGACCGGCTGACGTCTAAAAGCTGGCCATGCAATTCTTGAATGATCAACAAGAAAATAAACACAATCATAACTTTGCCAATGCCTAAAAAACTGACAAGGAACAGTGTGTCAGAGTCAGATGACACCCACTGTACCAGTCATACGAACAGAATAAGGCGGAAGAGGGCTCTAAAACAGTGTAAGAACAAGTATTGATGAAAAACATGGCTTGACTGTAGCTCGGCGCTAGCTCAGCAGCGCAGAGGTCGCAAACTTACCTGAGTCCGCCGCGGCAAATGCGCCAACCAAAAGCAAAACTACAGCGACAAATACCGCCCTGGAGTCCATGACTAAGGCCAACTTATTGCTCTATCTTCAACGCAAAAGTAACCTGTATCCACCAACAACGTCGGGATTGGCAAGTCTAAATTTCAGGGGGTTCTTTGGGTTTATCTTTCCGTGGTCTGCTCTGCTGCTGCTGATTCTTGCGCTCAGGGCTCTCCACTTCCTAGTCAGCAGGTCATGTGGCATTTTTCAGTAGAAGGGAGGGACACGACGTAGGCAGCCGCTAGGACGTCAGACACAGGTTGCATAATCCTTCCATCAATCAATGCATTTATTTTTTTATTATGTGGTTTATTCCTTCTCTGACATCGCTGAATACATAGGCTATGCAAAACAATGTAATAGGCTAAATATAAATGATGGGATCAAAATGGGTTAAGAGCAATCTATTTAGAAAAATCTATTTACCATACAAACAAGCAACAAATAACACGCAAATAAAAAATATACACGTCATGGATATGGTGATGCATACACTAATCAAATGCAATTTTCTCTATAACTTAAACTTTTAATATGCCACAATTGATTACTTCACAGTCATGTTTTGGTCTTTCATTACACGTTGGGGCTTCCTCTATTCTTTTAAGTACATCCAGGCCTTCAATTAATTGACTGTAAAACAAAAATAGAAAGAAATAAAAAATCAAAACTTTGACAAACAGCATTCTTCAAAGGCTTCAAAGTTATACAGACCCAAATGCTACATAGGTTTGATCCATCCATGGTGTTGGCTGCAGGGTGATGTAAAACTGGGATCCATTACTGTGTGGGCCTTTATTTGCCATTCCTAATGTCCCCCGCTGTGAGTGAGATATGGCAAAACTCTCATCTAATTGAAAAGATATATAAAGGCAGCTGGTAAAAAAGAGGCATAGAGTCAGGGTGAATAGTATTACTATTTGTTAATTATGCTTTACCTTCAAATGTAGGTCCGTAGATTGATTCACCTCCATCACCTCTCTGTTTTGGTGTTATATCTAAATAAAATAAAAAATGTGTATGACCAAGAGTCATTAGTTCAATCTGTACAGTTCCCAAGCCATGACTATAAATATATACTATTCTGAACTGTAAACTAATGACAATACTCTACCTCCTCCTTGAACCCAGCCATTTGGCACCACCCTATGAAAAACTGTCCCCTTGTAGCAAAGTGGGAATCCACTCACTGACAGGCCCTGCTCTCCCGTGCACAGAGCTTCAAAGTTCTTTGTTGTCTTTGGACACACATCTGTGAACAGCTTTAGAAAACATATATATCGTATTAGTATAGCATGCTCAGTTAAAAAGAAATATTGCACCATTTAAAAGAATACCAGTATATGTTTTGGTATGTGTTTACTGATTTAATTTGGTTCAGCATTTTTACACTTCTGATGCAATGATTCAAGATCAGATCTGTCACTTTTCTTCAAGGGCAAACCAACACAATTGACAGCATTACCTGAAACAACAGTCTGCCAGCCTTTTCACCTGCTATTTCCATATCCATGAATACAAACTGATGCTGCAATAGAGGGACATGTTTTAACATGTTAATTACAGGTATCAACAAAATACAGTATATGTAACTGGCTGATGTAAAGGACTGATTGACTCAGTGAACTAAAATGTAAAATTGATTCAACAAAAAAAACTGACTGGAAAGAGAATGTGATTTCAGTAACATTGCATGCAAATTTTGCGTTTTGACTATAAAATGTTTGACGTTGACTAACCCCTGTATTTTGTAGGTATTTGTGGTAACAGTCTTCAGCAAGAGCCTTATAGAGAGCAGGTGGCCGAGTTATAGTGAAATCCCACTTATCCTTCGCCCACCTGAAGAGGTCTTTCTCATTTCCCAGAAATTTTCCATTTAGAAAGCACACCAGACTGCTGGAGTACTGCCACAATTCACCTTTGATCTCCTACAAGACAGCACAAAACAAATGTATTGTGCAAACTAATCACAAACCAGAAGTGGACAATCCACAGTAGCTATGTGGGAACAAATAAATAATTGTCCATAGATTAAACCAAAACACCCAAATAGTCATATTGTAGGCTATATCACATTGTAGTCCTTCATTGTAGTACTTCAGATAAAAAATGAAGTGGCATAAAAAGCTGATTTTATTGGAATTTAATCAAGTCAAACCATAGCATGAACAATAATGCCAGTTATGGCGAATTCCAAAACAATAGAGAAAATTTATACTAGCTTAGATCAAACTAGTCACTCACCCTTTTCTTATTCCACAAATATGTATCCCACTCATTTTCAAGTAAAGGTTTTATATGGGGTTTATGAAACGTGTCTTGAAACTTTTCCTTAAGACCCTGTGAACAAAATATGTTTTAAAATATGTCAAAACAACTTTTTAAAATGCAATAAATAAATACCTCTGCAATAATTTTAGCTATGTAGAAATTAGGCTCTTTCATCAAACCCACAACTTCGATCAGAAGCTTTGAGTGTTCTGTTTTGTCCATCGTTAAAATAGTCAAAACTGGAAAACCCTCATTTTATCAACAAACCCACCGTCTCCATGGCAACAGCTTGTCCGACGCTGGATGATGACGTGGACAACCTGCGGCGGCTGGTGGATCGTTAAAAATGCTCTTGTGATAAATAGTACTTAATGATAGTTTAGCGATCACAGGAGCAAATTAGTGCAATATAATTAATGAAATTCTGAGAAATGCACAACGTCGAACACTGATTTTTTTTAAAGAGACATTTTAGCGAATGAGAACGAACCATGACGAAATCCGAGCACGGCGCCTTTTTTTGAAATTTGTTAGTTGAGGTAACCGATGATCTTTTCGCTGGTATTTTAATTTGCAAAGCTAACTTGATGCCCACTATTTGGTGACATTATGGGCGTCCATGAGCTCTGGTCCATTCTAGAGCCTGTTCGAAAGTCAGTGCCTTTGTACAGTTTGAGTGGAAAGACGCTTGCAGTGGACTTGAGTCTCTGGGTGTGCGAGGCTCAGCATGTTCAGGCTATGATGGGAAGGGTCACTAAACCCCATCTCAGGTAACCATCGAGTATTCCGCTATAAGTGTATAAGTTCTATAAGTATAGCCTTACACTCTTCCTCTGTGTGTCTAGAAACCTGTTCTTTAGAGTGTCATCTCTTACCCTCATGGGGGTAAAGCTTGTTTTTGTCATGGAAGGAGAGGCTCCAAAACTTAAAGCAGAAACCATGAATAAAAGGAATCAAGGCAGATTTGGAGCAAAAGCGGCAGCAGCTCCAAAGGGCACCATTAAAACCAACCGTGGGCGTTTTAAAGCCGTTCTTAGAGAGGTATGGCAATCAGATTTCGTTTTATTTTTTTCCATTTGTGCTTCTGTATTTTAGAGAGACAAAATATTTTACTCTAATAACTCAAATCCTTTTGACTTTTCCATTTAGACGCACACTTTACTGTAATGATTACATAATAAACGTTTATGGTCTTTCTCAAAATTTGGCTCTTACTTTATCTCGTGAACTTGTGCTTTCTAATTTCTAATAAACAATAATATTGCATTTTGTATTGTTGGTTTTAAGAATAGCATAGACCTACATCTTAGTTAATAGACCTTATTAATTGCCTGTTTTTTTGCATAGTGTGCAGAGATGTTAGATTACATGGGTGTACCATGGGTAACAGCAGCTGGGGAAGCAGAAGCCATGTGTGCTTACCTGGATTCTCAGGGCTTGGTCGATGGCTGCATCACAAATGATGGAGATGTCTTTCTGTATGGAGCCAGGACTGTTTACAGGAACTTCAACATGAACACAAAAGTACTAGTAACATCTGCCATTCTATTTTGTTTTTTAATTTCATGCCTGTGTAATTTAATTTCAATAATTTGATAAATCCAGGACCCTCAAGTGGACTGTTACCAAACATCTCATGTGCAAAGAGACCTGCATCTGTCTCGGGAAAATCTTGTTGGGCTGGCAATTTTTCTTGGATGTGACTATATTCCCAAAGTAATAAAAGTGGTTACATAAATATGAACCCTATAAAACAGCATTCAAACATATTCTTAACTTTGCTTCAGGGGATACAAGGAGTTGGTAAAGAGCAAGCTTTGAGGTTGATTTATAAACTTGAAGGGCAAACTATTCTTCAGAAGTAAGACAAGTGTATTCCTCATTCTTGGCATTTCTATTTTGTTTCTTTAATTATGTCTAATATAATTTTGATCACTTCAGGTTTAGTAAATGGAAGGAGGATAACACATTCATTCCCGAATCAACTGTGAAGAAAGTCTCTCATTGCAATGTATGCCGACATCCTGGTGAGTTCTGCCCTGCTTTGAACTCTGACCTGTCTCTGGTCCCATTAAGAAGGATAGTGTTGAACAACTGGGGCAGAGTATTTCACACATAGATGATTCAAAGCCATTCAACCCATAATGTCATAACATACACACATGTGAGACCATAGGTGTGTGTGGTATCGGATTTGTTAAAAATTATCAGTTTGTGACTTGTAGGCTCAGCAAAGGCTCATGAGAAAAGTGGATGCCTGCTTTGTGACAGCAAAAGATTTTGTGAACCCCAGGACTTTGACTATCAGTGTCCATGTGACTGGCATCTCAACCAACACCGTCGCCAAGCTATATCCTTAGAGACAAACATCAGAAAGTAGGTTTATTTGTGTATAATTATTCTCTTTTTTTTGTGCAATTATGTAAATATACATATTTTGTCATATTGTATTTTTCTAGAAAAACCATTGCAAATCCCCTTTTTCCATTTACAGAGGTAAGACAAATGATTTTATATGAAATATGAAACTATAAACATTTTAACAGCTTTGCTAACAGTATGTGATTCTACTTTTTAGATTATTAATGAGTTTTTAATATCCAAGGACAAGTCTGAATTCCATTTTAAAAGGAGGCTGCCCAATATGCTTCTGATGCAGGTAAAAATATACAGCATATAGTTACACAAGTTACATTTGCTCGATCATTCCAATGTATTATAACAATGCTCTTTATTAAGTAGAAATTTGCATATGATAAAATGGAATGGCCAAAACACTACACCAGTGAAAAGCTTCTTATCTTGATGACATACATGAATTTGATGAATAAAAAATATGGAAGAGATGTCTCCATTCAAGTCAAGCCACTCCGGTGAGACACTGTTTACTTTTCATTATAATATAGGGAAATACTAGTTTTAATTATTGACATTTTTATTACAGAATATTAAAGCCACGCGTGAGAAATGGAGTGTCGTGTTTTGAAGTTGTTTGGACTAAACCAGGTCAGTTTATGTTATAATATTTAGAAAATCAGATGTTCTTGATTTGAATCTAATGATATTGATTTGAGTATTGAGTGACAGGACTGCTGTGTGTGGTAGGAATTGGGGTGCTAGGTGCTCGCGCCTAACCTGTCTGTTAGTGACAGCCTGTGAGCCGGGGTTCAGAGGTGGCAGATCAGTCACAACAGTCACTAGGTGCTAAAGTTGCTTCCTCTTCAGACTGGGATATGGAAACTCCCAATCAGCTAATTCTACTTGACTATGCTTTTGTGTACTTAAATTCATACACAAAACGTACATTGAAAATCCTCTACAAAACAAATACTTTTACATATATTTAATTTTAAATTTGGGTTTTGTTACGTCTCTAAATCTAGCAAAAGTCAGACAAATATAAATTATTATTAAACAGTTATATACTTATTTGGAAAAAAAATATTTAAATATTTTGATTTACGTTTTCAGAGCATTATGCATTTCCCGAGGACCCAGCACCTGAGAACCAGGATGAAGTCAGAACCGTGGAGGAAGAATCTCTTTTTCGAGTGGCCTATCCAGAAGTGGTGGAAATCTTCCTGAGAGAGAAAGCTACAGCAGAGGAGAACAAGAACAAGAGTAAGTTTAAGCATTGTTAAATTTCATAATTGTGGTTTTCTTTTATTTCTCATGAACTGATTATGGCTAATAAGCGCTTTCCCATAACACTTTGTGATGGGTCCGGATCAAAGACACCTACAGTTTGTGGTGTTGTTCAAGACTGTTCCTTACAGCAGGTCTGACACCTGAAATGTGCTGTTTGGCACCACTGGCTTTGAAGCAGCCCAGAGGTGTCTGTCTCACAGGTTTTGTTGTTGTCACTTTTTTGCAGGTTGTGTTGGTATCTTGCTGCTGTGGCTCATGATTGGCAATCAGCATGTTTGATCATCGTTATTGATAATATCACAGTCAAATTAACACACTTGTATCCCTCTTTCAGAGAAGAAGCCAAAAAGTAAAAAAGAGAAGATGGGTGAATCAGATGGTATTTCTGACCTCCTGGCTCAGATGACTCTTCAGAGTTCACTCACAGATCTTCAGCCACAAACTGCAACACTGCCCCTTTCTATTTCTTCTCCAGATAAACTAGACATAGTTGTTTTGGACACTCCAGTAAGACATGAAAAGCAAGAAAATGATGGCTCCTTGGGTCTAGATGACTGTCCCAAATCTCCTGCGTTACCCCCAGAGTCTAAAGATGCTGCATCTTTGTCTGTTTCTGCTGTTATAAATGCTCTTCATCTAAGTGATATTGACTGGGATACAGCATCATTCACATCATCTCCACTACCTCCTACAACTACCAGCACGACAATGCAACCAAAGATTGTTCAAAGCCTGCACGTTCATGTAAATGAAGTTCCCACCTCCATTTCAGTTTCTGAGCTGTGTGAGAAGGAGCAACCTTTGCAAGATCAATTAATTATGAAGAATACTAGTCAAATCAATAAAAACATTACTGCCGAACAGGGAAGCAAAAGGATAACTTTAAATGATAAAAATTACCATGCAGAAAGCAAACTGTTAGAAAAGACAAGACTGATGAAAAACCTGTGTGTACCATTTACAACACAATGTGAATTACATGTGTCAAAACAACCAATGAAGCATCCCGCACTTGACCCAGATCCCATACCATCCAAGAACACATGCAAAGCACCTCCGAAGCCCCCACAAAAATTCAAATTTGTTAAAACCGCTGTTGCTTCATCACTTTTGCCACAAAGATGCTATTCTGACCCTGTACAAATTGAAAAAGTCAAACTCAAAACCTTAACAAAAAAGAGTGTGTGTGCGAGTGGTGGATTATCTAGTGATGACAGTGACTCTGAAAACCAGCAAGTTGCACCAAAGACAAAATCTAAAACAAAGATAAAGATAAAGGCCAAACAAATTCACCAGTTGGACATTCTTTCAAAACCTGTGTCTAAAGCAGTTGGACCAAAAGCGCAGATAAAAAACCACAAACCCAGAAGCTATAGTTTGGAAGTTGGTACAGTTGAGACAATCAGATTCCCAATGGAGTACAAATGCAAAGATGCTTTCCCTTCTATTACTGATGATGTGTTCAGTCAGTGTCCACCTTCACCTGCTGCAGACTTGGAGAGTGATAATTCTGTAATATGTAGTGACAGTCCTTTACCATTGACTGAAAGACTGAAACTAAAATTTCAGAAGTGAGCAGCACTTTTTTTTTTGCTTTAAAAACCATTCAAATTTGATGGACAGTATTTTGAAGGCAACCGCCCTTATTATTTTATTTGACACAACAATATTGTTGATAATGTTATGAATGGTAGTTTATACAGAGAGTTTATTTGACAATTGACAAGTTCCATGTCCTAGAAGCAGATGAGGGACACAGAGGACATTGTTTTACAACGCTCTGTGTTGTTCCCCTTGATCACAAGTGAGTTCTTGCACACCTTTTCAGACATGAAAAGGTCTGGCAGGAGCTTGGTGACAGCTGCATCCTCTGCACATGACCAATCCAGCTATCTGGTCAGAACTGGTTAAAACGGGCTGGTAACAACCAAAATAATTAAACCAAATTCTTAGCATGTCTTCAATTACAATTTTCTTGTTATATTCATTTATGGGTCAAAAGTTCACAAATTATTTTATTGTTTCATGTTGTCAATTATTTGTTTATTTATGTGTTTAATGATTTGGCAGTGTTACCAGTTGGCACATGAACTAGGCCTAATTCAGATGAATAGACACAAGAGAAGGGAAATCATCTCGTCACTCCTCTATTACACAAATCACATCAAACTGACAATTGTCGTCAAGTTGACATTAAAGAGTGATTTCCCACATATTATTTTTCTTTCTGTCACATTAACCGTCTATTTAGCCTTATTCACACCACGGTGATAACGAACAGCGTCTTTCTGGAAGGTCGCGGTTTGGCACTTGGAGATTTTCTTTGAACTTTTTTCCGCCTCAGCTGTGAACCAATAAACCTCCGGAGACCGGTTCTATATAAAAAGACCGCTGCAGATTGTCCTGAGCTCAAGACTTGTCGTTCACCTGGATATCGGCGTCACTGACCTTTGCAACATGGATGTAGTTACATCTGAAATAATAACTGAGTGGGCACCCAGTCATTTTGGAGAAGAACAAGCCAGCTCTCCAGGGTCCTCTGTGGACTCCATGTGCTCTTCACCGGAGATGTGCTGTCCAAGCGGATCTCAGGACACGGACTTTTCGTTTGGTTACTGTGGACGAAGGACAAGTAACGCAACGCAGAGGCAGATCAAGTCAAAGATGTCCACCAAGAGGCGCATGAAGGCCAGTGAGAGGGAGAAGTTGCGCATGAGGAGCCTGGCAGAGGCCCTGCACCAGCTCCGGGATTACCTGCCTCCGGACTACACCAAGAGAGGACAACCACTCACCAAAATACAGACCCTCAAATACACCATCGAGTACATCAACAAACTCTCGGACATCCTTAGCCTTGCGTAATATTGAATTTTACGCACGTTCTGACTCTTCGCCCTTTTCTAGATGCTGTAAATATTGTTAAATGGGCACTTGACGATTGTTGTGTATATTTTGACATCTTGTTCATTATAGATTTATACAAGATCACGCATCCCTATAGGCCTATGTCAACCGGCTGAGGATACAAGGCTAAGCAAGTTACTCTAGATTTTGTTATTTTGTTCTTGGTTGTTTTTGCATAGTTTGGGGCATTTTGTAAGTTGTCTGTGACATTTTATATTGAGACAAGATATGCATGGCTTTTTAATTTGAATAAATACGTTTGTTTTTTGGTATTTTCTTATTCTAAAGTCTTACTTTTGATACTTATTGCATCTTGTCAATTATACCATTAAAAAAAGAAAATTTGAATAAATTGAAATTTTTAACTTGTGTTGTTGGATCACCTGAATGAATTATTGAATCATCCTATTGTTGCCTTGAATCTATCATGGCATTAAGTATGTCCAATCAGACTCTAATTCAACAGTTTGTAGGTGGGTTGAAAGCACCACATAGCCAATCATTGAGGAGTTTTTTCCAGATGGGCGGGACTCTATATAACATGACCCTCACAAAGAAATCCCCGTTTGGGAATGTAGGTTGTCTACTCCTGTCTGACAAATCCGCCGCCATTACAACGCGAACGAGGATAAACAGGCTGTAAAGACCTTTTGTAGATTTTATAATACATATTTTATTTTCATAGCAACAGAAAATAATATATTCGCCGTATCTACCTCACCTGAAAAGTAAGTGTTCATTCTTTTAATTTACAAATGCTTAAATCCCAGGAACGCCCCGTTTTCCTCAGTATGTACTTTGCGTTGTATGCGTCTTTGTCGTAGTACAGAAACTAACAATGTTTCCATTTCATTGTTAATGCCTCGCTATGCGTAAATTTGCGGACCTTGCAGCACAAGCCATGCCAAGGTTTCAGTGAAATAATTCATGCAATGGCTCCCGCTGCATCTCAAGCCTTCCGCCATGGATGCTTTTCACAGATTTGTGCTACAGTCGCTACATTTCTTTGAACAGAGAAGCCTCGATCCCACTGTACTTTTGTAGCCTGCAGCATTGGAGTTCAATTAAAATTTGGATATCACTTTTTGTCAGTATTTGTTTAGTCTAATGTAAAATTTATAAAATGTATAACTTATCTAGATCTAGACTTATCTTTGTTTAACCATTCATCCTTTTGTAAACAAAGAATTATACTATGCATTTTGAAAATAGTTTCCAGAAATAAGAATGTGGATCTAATGTGTCGGTAACATTTTGAGGCTTCTTGTCTTTGGCTTGACTTCTGGTGCTATAAATAATGCCACTCATTTTAAGTCCCTGCTGAATGCCCATCACCTGCTGCAGCGTGAACTGTGAGGTATGCTTGAGCTATACTACCAGCACTAAACAATGTGGTTCTTGAATTTCATTTTTTTTTTTTTTTTTTTTTCCTGAACTGAAATTTTGGTTTTGACCTCTGTAGACTCAACTTAATAAAATGTGTACCGTATTTATGCAAATGGAATTTAAGTATAATGTAACCTTATTTTGTTATATTTGAGTGTGATATGTGCTCTATTTTCAGATGGATACAGAAATGAAAGAAAGTGAGACAGAAAATCAGACTTCACAGGGAGAACCTGAGAAACCTGTGTCTGAAAATAAGGCTAGGTGTGTGCAAGCCCCTCAGGGTGTTGTGTAAATTTTCTTTTTCTTTCTTGTCTTACCATAGAAACGTTGTGTTTGTTTGTGTTTAATGTTGTACTTATGTTAAAATGTTCTATTTTACATTTATTCTTAATAGTTTCAGGGGTCATGGAGCAAAACCTCGTGGTAGAGGTGGTCGGATTGGTCGTGGTGGGATGCGTGGTGGACGAGGTATGATTAAAGGGTTTGGTCCCCCTGGTCGTGGCAGGGGTCGAATGCATGATGGGCCTTTGAATGGATTTCCACCTATGAGGTATTTTCATATTTTTCATATATACATTAAAGGTGCTTACTGTTGAATCGCACATCCAAATTGTATTTCTTTAAGGGGAATGGGAAGAATGCGACCATATCCTGACCTCAGAGGACACCGTGGACGAGGGCCAATGGGTATGGGACCACCACCCCTTCCACCTCCTCCAATGCACCTCAGAGGTCCCTTTCCTCCAATGCCCAGGTAACATGGCATTCTGCAATGATTATCCATATCCTGGTACAATCTTACACAGTTTGTAACCTTTCTGCACCACTAGTAAGGTTGACTTGACTGGTGAATGCATACAATCTTATGCCACAGGTGTTTCCAAAAATAAACTACAGCTCAGACAATAATTACAGAAAACCTTTACATAGTGGATTGTGTACACTATGCTACTAAGCAATAAGTGTTTTTCAGAAACTGGGTTTAATTTGGTGTTGTGGCAAACATTATTGTTTTTAGGCATGGACCTCCACCGGGACACCCTGGATTCAGAGGACGTCCCCCACATCCTCGGGGCCGTGGGATGCCTCCCCCTGGACCTCCACGCCCCTTCCTCCCACGTGGTCCACGAGGGTAAGTAGAGCTTGCTCTTCAAGTGTCATTAAAAGCTGCAGCTTTAACATTTCTGCTGTTTGCTTGCAAACCACTTTTGTTCTTTCTCTGAAATAGACAGAAATAATACTGATAAAGTGATTACAGCAGTTCCATAATAACTGTGTATTATGTAGTACCACTAAATGTAATAATACTGACCTGAACATCATATCAAATACTTAACACATAAAATAAAATGGTTAGATTGTTTTTTTTTTGAGTTTATTAGCTAAGGGGTTACTGATAAAGAAATGCACAGAAATGTAAATAGTGCATGTATGATTTATGAGGATTTATACTGAATTACAGAGTATCCTTAGCTTAGACTCCAAGTTGATGCTCTTATCAGAGTGTTCCCTCTAGTGGCCTAAGCCCAGAATCCAATGTGTGATTTTATCCTTTTACACAGCTACCACAATGGACCGGTCTCTCCTCCGCCTCATCCCCCACCTGGCAGAGGCCAGAGGTGGCCAGGGCCTCCTAGTGGCCGACGCTTTTAGCACAGCCTGCCCAAAATGTTGAAAACGTTACTGTAAAGGGCCTAATATGTGCTGTAAAGTAAATGGCGTGAAGTGTTATAAAGATTCTCAATATTATCTGGCCATATTTCTAATGACTGGTATTGTCTGTTGGTAAAGAAATACTGTATAAAAGCTATTTGGCACATTACATGCCTCTGGCATCTTGCAGTCATTAGAATTACATTTGTATGTAATATTGTTGGTACTGTAGGGACTATTTGACTACTCCGATAAACTAATCTAGTGACTAGTGATTGAGTAATATTTTGTCAAAGTTCATTACATGTTTTGTGGTTTTTGTAAGTCACCCTATAAGCCTTAAAATGTGATCTTTCTTTTAAATATAAAAAAAAAAATAAAATGGGTGACTGTATATTTAAAGGTGGGGGACACAATAGCTCAGCAGCCCTCAAGCATTCTTGTTAAGTCATTAAGTTGTTGTTCAGTACACCTTGGACCTTTTTGTTAGCTTTCCATTTGTTACATAGAAAAGTTATGTATTATTAGGTCACAGTGCTGCAAACTTTGTTTGATTCACGCTCACTTTTATTACATGAAAAACTTATTCCATCTGTATTACCAGTATTTTTAACTATAATGCAGCTATTGTGAAGCTATTTTGATTTATGATAATTGCTGTTTGTTTGTCTCTAGTAATGACAAATATTAAAGGCATTATTACTGAATATATATATTTAGTAGTTTTATATAAAAACAAGCAAATTACATTAGTAATTGCTTAAGATAATGAAAACGTATAATTTACATTCTTGTGTAACCTTTTTTAAATGTTCACTGTTATTAAGTTTGTGAACTTGTTCAATGTGTTTTATGAAAATCACAAAGATATGACAGTAATAGTGGATAAAAAATAAAATAAAAAATAAACTCAACTTCTTCTTTTTATTTATTCAGATATGATGGTGCGAGTTCATGTTGAGAATGTAGTACATCTGAAATTAACATATTTGTTGATGCTAAACAACCAGATTATTTATTTGGTGACATTCTGAGGTCCATGTTAAAAACACTACAAAGGTGTACATAAATATTTGATTTGCATATATCTGTCTACATTCCACACTCGGAATCTTCAAAAATTGCTATGGGCTGACTTCATTAGTATTTTTTTAAAAACAATATACATACAACATTAAATGAAACATTAAATAATAACTGAATAAATTTCTCTTGTTCTCATCACTGAAGGAGTGGTAGCATGTCTAAAAGGAAGACTTCATCTTCAAGGCTAAGCACTCTGATATGACTAAGGATAAATATAATTTTCTTACTGTTAGTGATTAAGTTTAAAAAAAAAAAAAAAGTTCCTAGGAGTCAGTACAAAGACGCAGTCTTTCTCTTTTAATTTTTTTTTTTTTTACTAAATCAATTACTAAGCATACTGGTTAAAATAGCTTTCCAGAAACAATGTTTAGATTGTAAGCCTAGCAATGCTCTGTATGTCTTGCAAGCATACTATGTTTACAGTCTACACACAGATATTTATTATATGTTTACAGGAGAACACTAGTATAGTCAAAGCTTTCTCCTGTGTATATTCATTTCTGCACTATAATTGGTGCTATCTACTGCCCAATCATCTCTGCAGTCCCTTCTTGTTTCTGCTTTGGTTGATTGCACTGCACTGACTGTTGTTGTCTCCTGAAGGGGGCACACAGTACAGTACAGTTCCCAGCCATCAGGAGACCAGGACCCTCTCCCGAGCTGACCGCCACCACAATGGAAAGGTGAGCTAATAATCTTCGGTTTAATATTTGCACATGTTCTTTCAGAATCCAGGCTCCTATGTTTACATGTATTAAAGCTAAAGCTCTGATATATTTAATTATGTAACCAGTTCTCTACTCAAAACTATAAAGCAGCACCATATACTCCATCAAAGCTATGATGAAGGTTCAGAACTTAAAAGTTTTATGGTTCACAATTAAATTTATACTTGGGGTGATGTTAAAACTATAAATCAGTTATGTAAATTCCTTTGTTTTTATTGACTCATTTTAATGCAAATTGAAAAAAAAAAGTATTAAGTATTTGGAAATTAGGAGCAATGAGCCACAGGGTAGTAAAGCATGACATGCTGCTGGGGATTCAGGTCTAACTACAGTACATACATTTTATTAAGGAGGGAGGGGGGTGACCATCTGCAATTTATTGATGTGATGCATTGTTATAAATGGACAATGTTTGCCTTAAATAAAGCTCTCAAAAATAACTACAGTGTTGATTTTTTTAATATTCACAACAAAAACTGAGGCAAGCCTGCTAGGTAGGTATAACTGAGACATTATTTGGATAGCTGCACCTCCAATGACTGAACCCCCAGGGTGAAAGTGCCATTTCAATTTAACTTCAAATCGAGCAGTGCCAACTTCATGTTTTGCTGATGCCAACCATGCCATGTGGATGCAGCCAATCCATGCTTTGAAATAAATGGAAAAGACTTGAGTACTTTTAACACAATATCTGTTTATGCTAAAGTATAACCGACAAGACCTACTTGAAAAATACTATTTACAATCATTTGCATAAAAGAACATTTTAGTGGCTTGGCTTGTCTTCTGTGGGATGGTCTTTCCACATTGGTTCAAGTATGTGTTCAGGAATCTTCTCCATAGCAGTCTGACAACAAAAATACACATGTTGAAGTCAAAGAATGTTCAGGTATGTGCTTTTAAAATATGTATGTGAAAATGTAACTTTACCTTTGTCACTTCCATTGCAACACCTTCAGGGAGGTTCCTTTGAATGTATTCGAGGTACACATGAGCAGTGCAGCCAGTTACATGATTAAGCTAAAATATAGTGAAGTAAATATAATACATTAATCTCAATTTGATCCCTTTTTATTGGAGAAAAAAATCCAAACTTGGGCTTGTCATTACAAAGTAGAACATTTAAAGCATCTTTATTTTTTGAGACATGACTGCAGCAGTAACCTCAGACTGAGGCAAAGGATCCCTACATTTATGATATGGACAAATGTATATCTTGCACAATATTATGTCTATAAATTGCCCAGTCCCCTTTTTGTTTGGTATGTTTGTTTCTATGATTTACAGTTTAATGCTTCAAGTAGGGCTGTAGTCGAATAAATGGGGTGTGGCAAAAGCTCTCAACTATTTTAAATGCACACACAAGACTTCAACAGCATGGGATAAAGACAGATTAAACTTGAATCATGTATTCAATACATTTCAAATAAGTTTCACTTCAGCTTCTCACCTCAATGCACCTGTAGTGTGTCCTCATCTCATATTGGACTCGATGTTTCTTAAAGATGTGAACTGACTTCAGTAGCGTCAGCCTTTCAATATCCTTTGGTGGTTCAAAACTAATAAAACACAATATCACAAATCGTTTGTATGTTTGATAACAAAGCATCAATACCTCTTTTTGACACTCACATTTTGCCAAGAGAAAGACCCAACTCTTGTGCTGCCATTGTTGCAAAGAATTCAAAGCTGTTCAAAACAGATTTGTCATGACCTTTGACCAACACAGACACTTTCTGGAAGAGAGCGTCTGGTTCTTCTGTGACTGTGATCTGTGGAGGGAATACGGTACAAAGTAAGTTAACTATAATTACACTTTCCAAGTTAAAATTGACTTACTTTGGGTTCAGATGAAAAGACAGGTGATGTATGAAAATGAGTGCTGTATGACGTTTGAGAGGGAAGCCTGTGGGAAAACAGTGTAGATACTGTCAGACATATATTATGAATAATTAAGCCTAATAGTTAAGTTTTAAGAGGTTGTTGGCTGCAGTGACACACAATTTCAATTTGTAGCAACGTGTGTAGCTTACTTTGCACAGCGCTTACAGCATTAGAGTGAAGGTCAGCAAAATACAACTAGAATAATCAGAAGAGCATGTTGTACCTATGTATGTTGGCTTTTCTGTGCGATGAACAAGCTGCCCAGCCTCCAGGACTCTGCACAAAAAGAACACGATGTCAAAGAGACAGTTTAGTCTTGGTAACATGGAAGATAAGATCCATAAGATCCATGAGATCCATGAGATCCATACTTGGTACACGCAGCTCGCTTGGTTCTATCTATGATACGAAATTAAAGTCTAAAAAATAATTTTCCAAATATTTGTGAGTGGACAAAGGAAAATAATTGAGCTGTGTACAGTACCAAATGTGAGATTCCTGTCAAAATCCTCTGCAGTGATAAAACATTTCGCCGAAGAGCCCCCATGGAAGCCGCCATGTTTACTATCGTCTCATTCGTTCTTGTACTGCAGCAGCCTCATAATTTTGTGAGCGCCACCTTCTGGACAGTGAGTCAAATTAAGCGTTATACATGCGGATACTACGCTAGTAGAAGGCTACTACAGCTACTATAGACTTGGTAGAGTTATCACTTTTGGATTACTTGGTACATTAAAAAAAAATAAATAAATAAATAAATTTCATTGAAATTACATTTCAAGTGAAATGGGATAAAACATTAACAACAAACAAAACAAACAATGTAAATATATGCTGTATATGTATCTATTGCTGAAAATGGTTTTAAGCAATATATATAAGCTATATATTTATTTATATAATTGTAAACAAAAACAGACTACACTATCTACATCAAACAATTTTGGCCTTAAATAATTAGATTGTATTAAGAGAGAACTACTAGAGAAAAAGTGTTGTGGGCTTTTTGACCATTTAATTCCAATTCTATGGTGATTACCTTTGTTGTAATAAAGATTTCTAATACCCTACACACACCTCTGTTACAGATCCATGATCTGTACGAGGCTAATTGAATCACATGTACATCACGTGGTTCAGCTGCGGCCCTGTCACTGGTCGGTTTCGTGTCTCCGGGAGGACCGGAGCAGGAGCCAGGAGCAGAGGACAGAGCCAGGCAGGCAGCGGAGGAGAGAAGCGAGCAGCCTGCGGGGAACACGGGCATAATCACAACACAGGCGAGGTAAGGCTTCCCACGGCTCCAGGGGATCCTCTGCTGCACTGTCAACAGAGGCAAACTAACCACATATACATCTCGTAACTAAATAGGAGTTAGTGTGTATGATAGACCTACATTGTTATTAATGAATCTGAACATTGTGTCGGATAATCACAGAGCTATGTTAGCCTGTAGCACGGCGGCAGCGGCAGATGGACTGGACCGTCTCCGGTGATGGTGCTCTATTCGCAGTTAGCCTTCGCGAACTGCTAGCCTGTTAGCTTTTACTCTTCTCCCTTTGGAAAGGCTAAACGATCAGTCTGTGGCATTTGCGTCTCTCAAAATGTCACTTAGTCACGATCCCACGAAGGTTACTTTGTTATTTTACTATCACATCTTTTATAGGGAGCAATCAGGACAGCGCACATTTTTGTTTAGATTTGTCTCTGGCTGGCTAGCTTTTCTCCTAGGGCCAGCAGCAGTTAGGCACTGTGGTGGGTAAGACGACTGTTTCACGATAAAACACAAAGGTTTGTGAATGTCATGGTGGGGTATGTTGTTATTGTCGCGCTAATGCGATGCACTAATGCTGTCATACCTGTGTAATAGTGTCAAGCCAGTGGACTGTTGTGTTTTTGGAAAGATTGACAACTGTCAGACTCATGTTAAATCCAAACGTTTGATTCTGTGTATCTTTAGGAAATAATCCAACATATATATGACTAATAATCCTGAACACTTCTGGAATAAAATATGTTTATTTTACCCAGCATTTATAATTTTTTTATTCAGTATACCTTTTCCTCATATTATTAACAACTATTTAGAAATAATCCACTTTTAATCGTTTCATTTCTGTGGGAGATCACGAGTACATTTTGGCTAAATCATTAATATTTAAATGTTTGTGTGGGTGTTTTAAAAGTTTTTTATTGCATTTATGGACTGATTCCTATTTGAAATTGAAATTAGAAAAAAGGATACATTAAAATTTTTAAACAACTAATAATAATAATAACTAATTTTAACATTATGTCCTTTGGTGAACATTGCAGTTCTCCATGGGATCCCTGAGGCAGGTGAGAAGGCACTCTGTTGACGTGATGACGTTGCTGGGAGAAGCTCACAGCTGATGGAGAGGAGTCCCCGCTCCTCCTCCTCCACTGTGTCGCCTTGGTGTGGACAGGACGCATCACACACGAGTCACTGAACTGGGCAAATATGTGGCTACATTCTACTGGAAGCACTGGGCACGTTTTGGAGTAAATTAAGTACTGGATTTGTTTTCATGTGGATGGTTATTTTTTTATATACCAACATGAGTAAGCAATCTGCCACAGCCTATTGGTAACACATCTGTGGCCTTGTATTTGAGACAGCATCAATCTAATATCTATTTTGGATCACAATGACTTGAGTGCCTTTTATTCTTGACTTGACTTTTTTCTCTAAAACCTTTTTTGTCTAAAACCTCCTCAAATTGCTGCAAATCACCACTGTAAACAACAGAATATACTTGTACTATGCACAGTTATTTCAGCCCAGATACTGAAGCAGTAACCTCAGTTGAAGAGAGGCTCTCCTAATCTCAGATTGCCACAAAACCGCAAGCGAACAGCGTGTTTTTTATCGGCGGGGGAACCAGAGAGCTGCAGGGATGTTCGCTGCTGTGGAGCATGGTCCAGTCCTGTGCAGCGACTCCAACATCCTGTGTCTGTCCTGGAAAGGTCGAGTGCCCAAGAGCGAGAAGGAGAAGCCCGTGTGCAGAAAGCGTTACTATGAGGAGGGCTGGTTGGCCACAGGGAATGGCAGAGGAGTGGTGGGCGTCACGTTCACTTCCAGCCACTGCAGACGGGACCGGCCCACGCCACAGAGGGTCAATTTCAACCTCCGAGGCCATAACAGTGAGGTGAGACCACTCTATATGGTGTGTTAAATTAAAAAAAAATCTCACTGTACCTAAATTCCACCACTGTTGCTCTATATTTATATGGCTTTTGATATATTTAATTAATCCAGTGCACTCAGGTATAGTAGATGTTAGTTTCAGTCTTAATTCTGACTTTCTCTGTGGCCAAAAACTTATCTGACCAGTGAATATCTCACAACATGCCCTGCACACCTATAAAGTACTACTGCAACTATATTATTTCTCATTTTTTATTAATAGCAAGCTTATTTTTCAAGGTAACCCAGGTTCTTTTTAAGTAAGTGACATTGCCCAATGATTATTTGGGAGGAATATCTGTAACCTGTTTTTTTTTTTTTTTTTTTTTTTGCCTTGTCCTTGTTGCTAGCTCAGTACCAGATACAACCTGTCCCTTGACAATGTTGTCCTCTCTAATGGTGCAACTTATACTGGTGAATGTATTTTTTATATCAAGAAGCCATTTATGTCAAGAAAAAAAACAAGACATGCAGTAAAATTAAATTCCAGAAATGCACATTATTTTGTTTTCTGAATCCTGATAGACCTTAATTTTAGAGAACGGTTGTTTAGGTAAGGATATCTAATGTTGTAATTTATTTAATTCTCAAGTATAGCCTCTTTATGCACTGTCTAGTGCTATACTATTGTATTAGGGGTTGGTGTGTAGTTTAGTTGTTCATCCTCTTAGATAATGAAAAGCTGTTTTGTTGCCTGCACTAGCGGCTGTGTAATATTGTACCAGGTAGACACATAATTACAAGGCGATGACTTCAAGGTAGCTAAATGCTCAGTAAAAGTTCCACATTGTCAGACAACTAAAACAACAATTGCCATCATAAACACTTTTTTCCTCTGTAAACATTAAGTATTTTACTTTTCAAATGAGTTTTGTGTTGTGTTTGGGTCAGTTAAATTTTTAATTAATGTATCTAACAAAGCTCTATGTTAGCAGCTACTGATGTTGGCCTAAAATACCATTTTGTTTAACAGAAATGGATCTCGTATGCTGCAAACATCAGCTAAATTATAGTTTATTGGGCGCAAACAAATGTAAAGCATTGATTGTGCTATTCCTATCACTGTATACTTTTAGACATTAAAAGAAAGTGAACAGGCAGTCACTTCGAGTCTGCTCATTCTCAAAGTGCGCTGAAGGTTTAAGACAAGAGACAACAATGACTAGAGTCTATTCTACACATATGGACAGGAATATGCTTTCAGCAGCACAGGAAAATCTGTTGCTTGTGCCCACACAACGTTACTATTTAGTTCTTAAGCTATAACATGTATGAATACATTATTAGCAAAAAGTAAGTTTCACACCTTTTATAAACAGCAATAAGCAACAGTGTACTTTTAAAAAATCTAGAACAAAGCTCACAATAAGCCTGTTTATTTGGGGTTCTGTGGTGTGTTTTATGTTATCACATCATGTTTCCATTGAGACTGCACCCTGAGTCCCTGCTAAGACAAATTGCCCAGAGACCTATTACTTTAGAGAGAGGTAAACCCAGGACACCACAGCATGTTTACCACTTTGCCCTGTACTAGTTCCCTGTCCTACATATTAACTTAATTGTGTTGCACCTACCATTTGGTTCTTTAGTAATGAAATGCTATTCTACTACACCAATACTTAAAATGAGGGAGAAATTGCTGTTGAATAAATGTATTTATTCTGATTCCAGGCAGGTGTAGTGTAGAGCTGAATGGTCACAAATGACAATTCTGAACAACTGCAATTTTAAGTAATATAACAACACAAGATTGCTGCAAAACCACAGGAATGAACAAAAACTACTAACCCTGTAGACCTCCACAAATTATGTTCTGAAATGCATGGGATTCTTATATTAAAGCAGTTTCACAAAACAGTTGAACTTAGGGCATTTTAAATCAATAAATCTACAATATTGCAATTATTGTTTTGGAGATATGCAGAATTGCAATATTGAGTATGTTGTCAGTAAGAACAAGAACTATTAAAAGGTTATATAAAGTTGATTTATAATTTAAAACTAAACTTAAACAATTTTACAAACAATGCAGATACTAAAACTAGTATTGAAAGTAAATACTTGGGCAGGTTTTGCTACAAAAAAGTCACATTCACAGGACAGAAATGAACCTTTCCTGAATAGCTTTAAAATGATCTTGAGCTGTATCATCAGAACTAGTATAGGACCACATAGACTAGTATGCACTCATGGACTGATATGGAAAATACCTGGATGACTGAGGAGTTACATAGACATAACATCACATGGTATAAAAGAAAGTACTATTATTTAATGTTGAAAATTACGTTCTATGGTCTAAAGAAAGAGGGTCTTTATTATCATTTTGGTATCGGTATTGAGTATCAAGTCTATTCCTTGGTATCGGAATTGAGTCTGAAATCTTACTATCATGACAACACTAATTTCTGAGGGATTGCCATAATATCAGCTTCAGGATATATAAAAAAATAAATATTAATGTCAACATCATGTCAGACTGCTGCTTCTGTGACCCGACCTCAGATAAAGCAGAAGACAATGGATGAACATCATGTCAATATCACCTGCTCCTACCGCTTTTGCTTATCTTACATGCTTTTTCATGTTTCAGACCCTCTTGTTTTATGTGACCTGTTGACATTGCAAACCATCTTAAAACTAAAGCACATATAAACCCTTGTCTGCATTAAACGGGTCTCACTCAATGTGCTTTGGAGACATGGCTTATCTGTGCTAATCCCTGCTCTGTGAGGTCATGTTGCATAATATCCAGTACCTGGTAGCTTCTTCTGGTGCAGGTATTCTTGTCTGCTTATGTGCTTAACAGTCTCAGCATTTTTATTTATGTTGTAATTTAGATAATTTAGTTGCCATAAGACTGTGCTGAATGAGCTTGTGAGATGTGTTGTGGCTTTGACAGAAAAGGGTGACCACTTGAGAAGCCATAATTAAAAAAAAAAAAAAAAAGCAGTCCAGGCCAAAACTTGGAACTGAATGGCACATTGTATTTACTATAAATAATGTTAAAAAATCTCATGTCTTATTTTTGAGGGAATTTGGACTAATCCCAATTCCCTATCTTGGATAATAATATTTTGAACTATTTTGCTTACGCCATATCTACCAATGATAGTTTATTAATTCCATTGTGAAATCGACAAAGCACTATTTACTAAATGTAAAATGATAAAACACCACAATCAAATCAGTAAGTATCAAAATCGACATTAGCCGCCTCTGCCTTTGAGCTTTCGTGTCACATCCAAAAATATATTGTACCGTTTTCTACTATTAACTATTAATATAGTTGTAGAAATTAATCACTTGCTTCAAAGTCATTAAAAGTCATCTTGTACCAGTTCCCTTTCTGTGACATTGCAAATCACATCACAGTTGGGCTACTCTACTTTTTATATCTGCACAACACAGCAGATTGAGTTTATGTCTGAAGTAATGGTAAGCCATCTCCAAACCCCTTGACCTACAAGTATTGTCTTTGTCTCAGTTTTATCCTGTATCTAATTTTACAAGATGGTTGAGGCGTAGCATGCACAGTGTCCTATTCTTGAGACACTGCCCTGCTATTGGGCCTGTTCACTTTTGCTGACTCCAATGCAACCCAGAGATGTCCCTTTATTTGATTTGGTAGATTCAGGGAAACTGCTTGGCTCAGCGCTGTTCCAAATGTCCCAGAGAAGCACAAACCATAGCAGAAGATGGGGATGTCAAGATTAATCCAATAAATTATAATCATGGTTATACAGGTCACCAAGTAATCATAAGAAATAAAAGTAATAAGTGAGTATTTTAGAAGCAAAATACTCCTGTTATACTCTGCTAGTGTAGGCCCCTAGTCCTCTCCTGTGGGCTAGGGGCACTGTGCATATGCCCTTGCCCAGTGTAGCCACTCTTAAAAAAGTTAACCTAAACCTGTTGTTTAGTGTCTTTTTATCTTATTTTGTTTATGTCACATGAGCTCATTCATTCAAGTTTTATTTTTTCTAGTCACATTGTTAAGGACAGTTAATCTATTACACCATGCCAATCAAAGTAATCGATTAATTGTTGTTTGGTCATGGTGCCAGTAATTGTAAGACAAAAATTTGTATTATGACTCTCCTCGAAGAACCGTAGAGATGCTCATCTAGAAATGCCCTTTGGTCTTGACGCTTTGGTGCAAGCCATTCACCGATACATGTTTCACCTGTGACCCTGAGGTGTCCTGGAGCTTCTCAGCCTGATCCTCTGTCTCCATGTGAGGTCTGATCCCAGTTCTGCTGCGTCACTCAGAGCTGTCCCTCACCCGACCAGCTCACTCTAATCTTCACAGGCCGCTATATTTACTCACATACACATTATTCTCACCTTCATGGAGTTGCTTGTGAATGTACACACAGCCAAGACACTGCTCCTAAAGCTCATTCCTGTGTTAAATAAATGGGACTTTCAAAAGAGTTGTATTTCTTAGAACAAGAGTAAAAAGATCATTTTGTAATTTCTTATTACTAAAATGTATGTAAAATTATATATTTTTTCTTTTGACATGCAAACTGTATGCATATACCTCTGAAGGCCTTTATCATTCTTGTTCATTGCAATTTCTATGTGCTGATTTGTGAAACTGTATTGCATTTAAAATTGCATTAATGATGCATCAAGCTGTAACTGTGAAACTGCAATAGCAACTCCTTTCAATTTTCATGAAGAGCTCTGTCTAAGGCTCGTTGGTAAAAGAGATGGTAGCATTGCTGTATGTCTCACACACTGTCACTTACTGTACAACTATACTTGCTCTCTAAGCCCACTAAAACCTGACCAGTGTTGTGTGTCTGGGCATGTACGGCACACGTGCGCTGCAGAGTGAGACTGCAGACCGGAGATGCTTGGTTCTTAGGATTATTCCTCTAGGAATAGGCCAAGTCACGCCACAGCGGAGCAGACACATGCATATCAGGGTGTCACTCTAAGCCCCCGGGAGGATGTCAAAACAATTAATGTAAGGTGTTCCTCTATTGTGTAAATAAAAACTAGACTTCAGTATTTAGTGATTATCTTGTAAGTTTCAATGTTTTATTTTGTGAAAGTCACATTCTGAATGTCATAGGAAAAGTCAATGTCATTGTATACTTTACTAAAAGTGCTATACTATTTAATTTATTTTACTAAGTACTTTACTACTTACTTTACATTACTAAAAAAAATACATGAATAAAAGTAGTCTACTACTAATAATAAAATACTAATTTACTACTACTAATAAAAGTACTTTACTAACGGTAATCCCTAACAGTAACCTTACATTAAACCCACCCAAAAATATATTTTTTTCCTAAATGTTCCACAAAATGGCATTAGACTTGTCTATTAATGGAGACACAGCTCATAGTAAGAATGCATGTTTTTTTTTTGTTTTCTGTTAGCAATACTGTAACTAGTAATTGAATAAATGGAATATATATAGTTGCTCAGATTGGCAAGTAACCATTTGTCTCTCGATTTTAATTTCTAAAGTAACAGCATTGTAATATGATTTTCAGGTGGTACTGGTGAGGTGGAATGAGCCCTTCCAGAAGTTGGCCACCTGTGACACTGATGGAGGTATCTTTGTTTGGATCCAATATGAGGGACGCTGGTCGGTCGAGCTGGTTAATGATCGTGGAGCCCAGGTACAAAAAAACTAAGCTCTCAGTTCTTACCAAATCTGTTCCCTTTTTGCTACTTAAATGGCTGCATTTGCTGTTTGTAGGTGAGCGATTTCACATGGTCTCATGATGGAACCCAGGCTCTCATCTCATACCGTGATGGCTTTGTCCTAGTGGGCTCAGTGAGTGGACAGAGACACTGGTCCTCAGAGATCAACTTAGAAAGCCAGATCACCTGTGGTATCTGGACACCCGATGACCAGCAGGTGACCCAGACTCATTTGGCTTGGTTCCAATATATATTATCGAGTTTAAAATGCAAATCAAATTTCTAGCTTCTCCAAACTCTTTCATATGGGTCTTCAGGTGCTGTTTGGTACAGCTGATGGGCAGGTGATAGTAATGGACTGTCATGGGCGGATGCTGGCACATATTCTGCTGCATGAGTCGGATGGCATAGTCAGCATGTCCTGGAACTACCCCAGCTTCCTGGTGGGGGACAGCAGTGAGAGCGACACAGACTCGGATGACTACTCTCCTCCACAAGGTACACTGCCAAAACAGCCTCATGCTGTATTATTCAGAACTCTACATCCTCTTAAATGTGCATATAGCTTTATTCTATCATTGAGTTCAAGTTACCTTAAATGGCTTATTAAATTCTGGTAATCAAGAATAGGTTTTAACTGAAACAATATTTCTAAAAAGATGTGCATCTTTAATTGTTTTTTGTGATTTAAATATTGCCACAAACATGAACAATAACAGCACTGCCTTGATTTGTTATTGCTTCTTTTTCCCTTGGTCATGTTGTAATGATGAAAAATGCTGGTGTACGCTGAAACAGATTTTGTTCTCGTGCTCTAGATGAGCAAGTCTTTGGTAATTGGATAACTCAGAAAAAAGGAACGTTTCGAGGAGACAAATAACCTTAAATAGCAGACTTGTTCCTGCACCTGCGTCTTGTGATCTATTATGATTTTTTTTATTTGCTAAATTACAAATGTTATTGACCTCAAAATCTCTGGCATTGTAACTAGCCTGTCTGGATTATTAACTATAATAATAAATTAACCTGTTATTAATGCATTCCTGTTTGTCTCTTTTTAGTTCACAGCCACAAGCCTCTGCTCACAGTCGGCTTCAGCTCTGGAGACATCAGCTTGATGAACAACTATGATGACCTCTCTCCTACCCTTATTCACACTGGTTTGAAAGGTGTGTATCTTACTTCACAATTCTTTTAAGTTGTCCATTCATACATTACAAAGCTCTTGTCTTGTAGATGTGGTGGTCCAGTGGTGCTCCCAGGGGGACCTGCTGGCAGTGGCAGGTATGGAAAGAACAGCTATGCCCCCTGACTCTTGCCCAGCTGCCATAAAAAACGCTGTGGTTAAGTTTTACAATGTTCGAGGTGACCATATCTACACACTGGACACACCTGCTCAGGTAATGAACACTGCATATAGAGGAATATACAGATTACTGTTAAATTATATAGAAATATATAGTTGTGTGTGTTTGCAGGTTAGTCAAACCTGTTATAGGCACTTTCAGCATCATGATATATTACAGACAATGTTTAACAAACACAATATACAACAAAGTACTGTATATTGCAAAAGCTCTGAGATATTAAACTACTACTGCTAATAGAAATTAATTTTAGCTTATTCTTACTGTAACTCTGTATGTAGCGCCCTATCACTACATTGTGCTGGGGACACAAAGACTCCCGCCTCTTCCTGGCATGTGGCCCTGCTCTCTATGTTGTACGAGTAGAACACCGGGTGGCCAGCCTGCAGCTTCTTTGCCAGCAAGGGATCGCCTCAGCAGTCAAGGAAGAAAAGGATGTAGCCAAACTCACTATGCCCTCTCGTCTCTGTTCATATGTCACCACCGCTTTCGTCCCTACCATAAAGGTAACTCACACAGCTATTGTTAAACTCTGTATCATTCCTAACATGACTAAGAAATGCTTTGTTTTATAGCCTCCCATCCCAGATCCTAATAACATGCGGGATTTTGTGAGCTACCCAACGTCTGGAAATGAACGGCTGCACTGTACAATGAAGCGTACGGAGGATAATCCTGAGGTGGGGGGACCCTGCTACACCCTGTACCTCGAATACCTTGGTGGCCTGGTGCCAATCCTCAAGGGTCGGCGAATAAGTAAACTACGACCAGAGTTTGTCATCATGGACCCGAAAACAGATGGAAAAACAGGTTTGAACATACTTCAGAATGTTAAACTTTGGCTCTAAACAACTTCATCGATCCATCCATGTTCACCACTAAATTAGACTGGAATAGGATACACTAGCCATTGTTAATTAGAAACTGCTTGATAATGATTCTGGAGGCTCTAGGGCTCCTCATAAATCATTGTTTCTGACCGTACACTGTCAAAAATGATTCTAGTCTATTCACACTTGCATGTTAAGTAAATTAGCTTAACCTAAACAAAAGCAGTAGGTTTCTTTGTATTTGAACATGTTGAAAAATGTTTTAATCTGTATATACTGAATTGTTTATAAAAATGTATTTCTCCCTCTTTTTCTTAGATGAAATATATGGCAACAGTCTAATATCTGCAATGATTGACAGCTGCAATTGCTCCGACTCCAGTGATATTGAACTGAGTGATGACTGGGTTGGCAAGAAATCTCCAAAAATATCCAGGGGTAGTAAATCCCCCAAACTACCTAGGTAAACAAAGACTTCTGTACTGTACTGTGTTCTGTGATTCTGCTGGTGGTGCTTGTGCTTGTAACAGCAAAATGAAAGCTATTAAATTAAATTGTGTGTGTTTTAATATTTATTTTGTGTTTGTTGATTTGTAACTGCTAGTTCTGCTTCACTATACTGTTGTGTTGTTCATTCATTGCATGCCTAAACTTTATTTTTTATGTGCTACCTTCTCTGTAGAGACTTAGTTTGTCCCTTTACCAACAGAATCAACATAGATCCCAGAAAATCGCCCAAACTCTCTCGTACTACACAGGAAATCTCCAGGTCTCCACGGTTACCAATACGAAAACCTTCAATTGGGTCACCTAGTTTAACACGCAGAGAGTTTCCTCTTGATGACATTGTGCAGGTAACAGTCTGAGTTAAACAATGAGTGTGGTTATTAAATGCCTTTATTTCTTAATTTACTTGTCATTTTTGTCTTGTAGCAAAACTACCTTGCTCAGGTCACGTCAAATATCTGGGGAACAAAATTCAAAATTGTGGGGTTAGCTGCATTTTTGCCAACTAACCTTGGTGCAGGTAAACACCTTACATATCATTTATGTCTCTTATTTACATATACTTATATATAGAGAGGTGCAAACACATGTAACAATTTCTGTTTTCTGTTTGTTCTAGTTATCTACAAAACAAGCCTTCTTCATTTGCAGCCCAGGCAAATGACGATCTACCTTCCTGAGGTGCGGAAGATTTCCATAGACTACATCAATCTTCCCGTTTTCAGTCCAAATGTCTTCAGTGAGGATGAGGACGACCTACCCGTTACAGGCCCCACTGGTGGGGCCGATGATAACCCTCCTTGTACTGTTAACATCCCTATTGCCCCGATTCATAGTCCTGCTCAGGCCATGTCCCCTGCTCAAAGCATTGGTCTCGTCCAGTCACTTCTTGCTAATCAGAATGTCCAGTTAGATGTTCTCACCAATCCAACTGTGAGCCCAGTGGGAGCTGCTGCTGGTGGGTCAGAACAAAGCCAGGACAATATGCTCACTGCCCAGTATACAGTTCCCACCCGGTACTCAAACCCAGGTCAGGTGATTTTTGGTGGACTGGACATGAGCCGGCTCATGGTAGGACCCCCTCTGTCTCACAGCTCACAGCAGTCACAGCCCAGTCATCAGCAGCAGCTTCTGCAGCACCAGCAGCTGCAACAGATGTTTCAACAGCAGCAGCTCCAACAACTGCATCTTCAGCACATGCACCAGATCCAGCACCAGGCCCTTCCGCCACAGCATCCGCCACAGCACCCACCTCAGCACCCACCTCAGCACCCACCAACGCACCAGGCTCTACCATCGCAGCACCATCAACTCCAGCCATTCCAACAGCCTCTTCAAATTCAGATCCCTGTCCCATCACCGCTGCCTGGACAGCTCCCTGGGTCAGCTGCCTCCCTGCTTCACCCAGGGGCATTGCATATCCAAATCCCTCATTCTACAGCAGACCTAGCTGACCGTTCTGTAGGAAGTGAACATGAACATTTGTTGAAAATTAAGACAACTCGTTCTGGTTCACAGTTGGCAGAGGGTGACACTCTGGTGTTTAGTGCTCCTCTAGAACTCAGTAAAATGAACCCTCCACCACCCTATCCTGGGAATGCAGCTGTGGCTTCGACTGCTACCTCCAACACTGGACCTGGTCCCAGTGGGACGCCTCCCCCTGGGGATCTGTGTCTCAAAAAGGGAGAGTTCCAACTATATCCTCCAAGCCAGCCTCCTGCTCAGTACCCCACACCTCTTGGCTATGAGAGAATCACAACATTTGACAGTAGTGGGAATGTGGAGGAGGTCTGTCGACCACGGACACGTCTTGTGTGTAACCAAAATGTGTACGCACTGCAGGGCCCCGGCAGCTCAGCCACACTCAGGGTCACCTCTTCATCCTCATCTTCATCTACAGCAGAGAGCAAAAAGCTCCAGATGCCATATGTATCTGCCACCCTCAACAGACTCACAGCACCTCGCTATTCAATACCTAGTGGAGACCCTCCACCTTACCCTGACTCCTCCAGTCAGAACAATGTGGCTGGCCGAACCACTGGATTAAGACTTGACAGCAATGTAATTCACGCCACTCTGAGGCGAAACAGCAGAGAGGCTACACTTAAGGTTTCCCAGATGCTGGAACCACCAAGACCACTGCCACCTAAGACAAAAAACAGTAGTGCACTAGCAGCTTCTGTTCAGCAGAGGGTGCCAACAGCTTTGTACACCTGCAGTCAGTGTAGCAGTGGCTCCAGTGTTGGGGGTTCTACCTTGGGTAGTGCCAATGGTATAGCTGGAGGAACTATCATCAGGCAAGACTTTCCTCCTGGGACTGGGGCTCCACATAGCACAGTGATAGTTCACTCAAATAGTGCTACACCTCTGTCGTCCCAGTCCTCGTACAGCCTGCTGAGCCCTCTTGAAGGCTCTGTGTCTACAGCAGGTGGCGCACGGACTGACAGTAGAGATCGGGCGGACTATGTGAACTCAGCTTTTTCTGAGGATGAGACACTGAACCAGTCCCTGAGGCATTTGGCTTTAGGAGGAAGTGAGGCCCCAGGCTTGGTTGTCAAACGCCCTCCTCCATATCACTGGGATCCCACTGGCAATGAGGAGGTGTGGGTTCCTCAGGAACGGACAGTAACTCTAAACCCTCCCGGCCCCACAGGCTCACACAAACCACCGCCGCTTATCCTCAATCCAGGTCAGCATTTAGATGTTTCTCGAATGCCTTTTGTTCTCTCTCCAAAGTCCCCCACAAGCCCCAGCGCTGCTTCATTTCAAGCTGCTGCAGCTGCTGCAGGTTACCAAATCTCCCTGCAGTACCCTGCTACTGCCTACTCAGGCACCCCACTCCAAACCATGCCCACATCCCCACGACCCTGCTCCTCTCCAAAGGAGGTGGTAGCTCCAGTACCCTTCTCTCAACAGGATGCCACACTTGTCCTGCCTCCAGGTTACTCTGCAAACCTAGCCAACCTGGCCTGCTGTCCTCTCCCTCCCATGTATCCAGGTGGAGGTGCTATTATTCCCCCTATTGCGCTTCACACTCCGTGGGGAACTTACAATCCATGTCCTCCTATGCCCAGTCCTGCGGTGCCACTTCCTCCCAAAGCCTCCCATATTATAGCAGAGAAAACAGCCATTTCACCTCCTCCACCTCCTCCTCCTCCACCCCCACCTCCACCCCCACCCACAGAGTTGCCAGAGCCCATGGCAGATTCTGGGGAGGGCTTTCAGGAGGTTTTGTCTTTAACGGAGAGCCCCGTGCCACAGCGCTCTGAGAAGATTAGTAAAAAGAGCCGCAAAAGAGCAGAGGGCAGAGTGGAGGAGGGCAACATGCCTCTGGCTGAAGGCAATAAATCCAAGAAAGAAGGAAGAGCTTTGGCTGATTTTAACTCCCTCATATCGAGCCCAAGACTTGGAGGAAGAGACAAAAAGAAATTGAAAGGCCCAAAGGAACAGTTAAAAGCTAAAAAACTGAGTAAAGCCACTGCCAATAGTGAGTTTCAGGACAGTTCTGAGAGCGAGCCAGAGCTGTTCATCAGTGGGGATGAGCTCCTCAACCAGTGCCAAAGTGGTAAGAAAGGCTGGAAAAGTAAAAGAAACTTGCGGGCTGCAACAGAACTAGATGAGATCAAGTGTCGAAAGGCCAATGAAAAGGAGGACCGAGGCTTTGGGAGCCAAGGCTTTGTGTATGTTATGGCCAACAAGCAGCCACTGTGGAATGAGGCCACACAGGTTTACCAGCTAGACTTTGGAGGACGGGTTACTCAGGAGTCGGCCAAAAACTTTCAGATTGAACTGGAAGGCAGACAGGTAGTTATTCTGTTGATTAATGCAAATCAGAGTGATATGTTAATATGTGTGTTTTAACAGTATGGCTTTATTTTCAATTTCAGGTGATGCAGTTTGGCCGCATCGATGGCAATGCTTACATCTTGGACTTTCAGTATCCCTTCTCAGCAGTGCAAGCCTTTGCAGTGGCTTTGGCCAATGTTACTCAACGCCTCAAATAATATTAATACTTACTTTGTGTTCTTTCAAGGAATTAATGACCTAAGGGCACAGTTGTTCCATGTGACTTTAATAGCTGTTGGAGAATTCAGCCCTTGTTGTAGAAAGATACAATCATGCTGCACTACTCAAAGCTGCCACTAGAGCTGACATTTGCCATTGTGGCTATCTGTAGACCCTTGCAGCACATGGAGGGTCAAAGAACTGAGCTTTGGTGATGATCATGCAACAGATGTTGCTTTAAGTAGAAGTAGTTTACATAGAGAAAAACTGCCAGCCAGTCATTTGTCTAAAAAGCAGCAATGATACTTGAAAACCATCTTATGGAGATGCAAGCTGTTTCTTTCAGAGTGCACATGTACCACTGTGCACTGAAATCAATTGCTGTATAAACATTCAATGAAAAAAAAATCATCACTTAAGTAATCACGCTGATTTTGCTTTCACAATTTCATTACATGACTAGATCCGCTGGTGGGCTGCGGGGGTAAGCTGGTGCTCCCTGCCATTCCTTTTGTCACTATCTCAAGATCTCTGAGCTGCTGCAGAGGTCAGGACATATGCATAATTTAGTACTGCTATATTCACACTTCTGTTTTTATTTTGGGAAGGTGGCTAGAATATTGAATATTTCAGTTTATTTTCCTCTGATTTTGAAGGAAATGATCTTGCCAGAAAATATGTACAGTTGTTTACTCATTTTAACATTTTAACATTATTGTTTGTTATTTGCAATCTCCCACTCTAGCAATGTCATGTTTTAACTTCACCTACATTTATTTGGGAGACTATTTTCTGATGTTTCTGTGCGATTCAGGAGTATTCAGGTTGTAAAAGCTGCAGAAAGCTTTGACATGTACATCCTGTCCTGAGTAGTGCATCAGCACATGGTGATGTGAGCACAAGTCGCCATGGCCTGTTGTCAACATATTAACCTCTGAAGTTTTTGTCACCTGCTGTCACTTCTGTGAAGTGATTGTGTAGTTGGGGGATGTCCCTGCACTTGAAGCCCAAACATTACATGTAACAAGGTACAGGAAAATATTTTTCTATATTTTACCTATGCCATTTCATACTGTTTCAGAAGTTATGTAAATACATATCAGTGAATCATAAATGAGATGTAGGTGACAACAGGCTGTTTACAACATTCTCACTGTGTTTTAGTCTACTGTGTGGCATTAAGCCTGGTATATTGTTTAACTGATTTCAAAAAGATTTACGATGAAATAAATTTCACCAAAAATTTAAACGCTGATGAAGGTAATACTATTCATGGTAAATTCACGACACACTACCAATAAACAGACCCATTGTAACTTAGTAAAGTGCTGTATGGTTGAGATTAATGTTTGTGCCAAATTCATTTACCAAGGCAAGAGAAAAATACTGGTCCTACTATGAAGAGTGATACTTGATGTTTATAACTTATGCTGCCAATTATATTTTAAAATCCTTTACTGTGGTCTTTCCATATAGCATTCAAATGCATGTTTAAGAGTCTATGGTTAAAGCATATCCACTGTATTTTTATTAAAAGAAAACAACCCTGAGCATGTCAAGTACATTTTAAGTTGTGCAATATTTAGTTGACCACATCTGATATTTTTTTTAGTTCAACATCCCAGTCAACGTTCTGTCCATTTCTATTTATGTTTTTTTTTTTTTTTGTGCTGTTTTAAAACATTGCTTTGTTGATCCAACTTGGTCATAAAATACCCCAGAATTTGATGTAGCGTTGGGGTGAGGTCAGAAGAAGCAGATTTGTCTTTTTTAATGTTTTCATTGAATGGAAACTATGTGAATGAATTAACTCAATGTAATGGTAAGATAGTTGGAGTGTTTCTGTTGAGTATGTCAATAATCAACATTAGTGTTAACATTCATGACATGAGTGTGTGGACAAGGCAGTTGCCACAGCCTTGTTGTTCTACAATAAAACTAGCCAAGTTAAAGAAACTGGGCGCAGAATTCCTCTGTACTTAAGAGTTTACTTCATTTTGATTTTCAGAGATGGCCAGTTGTAGATGTTGTAGACTTTGGCTTTTCCCCCTTTTCTTTGGAAAAGATGTGCTTTGTACTTGTAGTTGTAGATTTAAGGACAAAAATACTAGGAAAAAAATGATCTGGTGACTGAATGTTTATGAGTAGTCAGGCATGCCATGTAAATGATTTTTTAATTGTGTATGTGACACATCTTTTCAATAAAAAGTCCTTGTCTCTAATGAAATGTCCTATAATATTTATGGAGAGACTCACAGTTGAGCTTTTATTGGATTTATAGACTTTTACTTTTTAATATGAAAATTATTAATTATTAGGTTTGTGTGTGTTTGTGTGTGACTCCACCTTGATTTTGTAATGTAAATAAAATAGCACATAATGTTTCCCTTAATTTAAAACAATGAGAGATGCAGAATAATCAACACTTTGACTGACCAGCCAAGACCCATTATTACAAATCAACTCTAAATTTCTTCCTCTGTCCGTGGTCCTGAAATGAGGTCACGTGATCTATAGCTCGACTGCTCGTGCTTCCGCTCGCCCTCTATTTCCATTTTCACCTCTTTTATCTTTTAACTAAAGCGACACAAATAAATCGGCCTCGCCTGCATTTTCATTCGGACGACGGAACAATGCAGCTTCAACACTGAGTTTCCCTCTGAAGGTCAGCGACTGCTCTGCCAGTGCACCTGTTTTTGATCGCCATTTTTACAAGCGCTCACTGTAATTATGGACACTGACTACTCGTCTGGGTTGTTGGAAAATCCTTTGTATTCCGAGTTTAAATATTTTTGTAGAAAGGTTCAAGAGGCATACAACGATCTGAAAGAGGATTTAACGCCTTATCGTGATGATCGATTTTACAGGTAGGCACATTTATTTAGGCCTACATGAATAGACCAATCTCCCCACTAACATCACTCAATTATTAGTGTGTGCTGTGTAGTGGTAAACCTTTATGTCGATAATAAAAAAACGAAAACAAGCAACCCAAAGCTTGTTAACTGTCTTTGTATCACACCCTAATGCATTTTGAAGTGACCAGCTATAAAACACTATTTAACACAACACTTGATACATATCGTACAATTGTCCAGTAGGATTCTGAAAGGGATTCCGTTAGAGTGGATTTTGTCTTATTGTATTCCTATAGGATTTGTAAAATGTAATAGAACTTTTAGGCTTTTTTAGTATACAATACAAAACAATTTGTTCCCTCATGCACTGATTCATTAACTCCTGCCAGAGTAAAAATAAAACGTATAGGTAAAATTATACCCGACAAAATATGTATAAGAAAAAATCATCTACCGCAGGTAGTGCAGGTAACTTACTTTAATGTCATTTCCCCTACAATAGCTTATTCAATGCCTGTATGCCACCATGCCAATATTGCATGCTACTAATTTATTTCAGTCAATCTCATTCACTTGAATAAATAACGCTTGATTCAAATCTAATCATCTTTGTAATATTCTTGCCCTGGATCTGTTAAATCTTTTCTATAGTCTATTAAATACGGTGGCTCCCATAGACTGTATATGTATATATGTATATATGTGTATATATATATATATATATATATATATATATATATATATATATATATATATATATATATATAGATAGATAGATAGATAGATAGATAGATAGATAGATATAGATATAGATATAGATATATAGATATATTTAGATATACAGATATATATTCGGTCTATGGTTAAATACATAGACTGTGTAAAGATATACAGATATATATTCGGTCTATGGTTAAATACATAGACTGTGTATAGATATATAGATATATATTCGGTGTACTGCGGCCCCGGCCCGCCCCCTGGTGACGTGGTCACAGGCTGACGTTAGTTGATTACGGATGTAGGCGCACGCAGAAATACCCACGACTTTTCTCCTCCAAAAAAGGCCGTGAAAAACTTATAATGGAGCTGTAAGTTCTTTTGTGTTGATAATTATTGTATGAACATGCATTTTTACGTGTTTATGGATTGCTAGGACTGTGACATCCATGGTGCCATCTGGTAATGCTAGGACAAATTAGCATTGCAGCTAATACAGTAGTTTTCACTTTACACCTGTGCTGAGGCAGGCTGATGTCCACCATAGACAAACATTAACAGTTTAATATATTATTGTACCTTCCTCGTCTTTTGGATTTCTGGTGGTGGTGGTGATAAATGTTTATTTTCCATACTTTTCAGATTGGCCCCTATGCGGCTCTATACCCTGTCAAAAAGGCACTTTGTCCTAGTGTTTGTAGTGTTTCTACTATGCTTTGGCCTCACAGTCTTCATAGGAATTGCAGGTAACGCTATGCACTGACAATAGCAAGAAGTCGTATAATAATAATAATAATAATAATAATAACAACCAACTGTGTGATGATCATTGTAACTATATTTGTAGGTCCAAAGATAATTGAACAACAAGGACATAGTGGTGAGCAGCTACTAATGAAGAATTTCTCAGCAAAGGTGAGTATCGCGTCTGTTAGAATCTCAAATTTTACAATAGCCATTATCTTAATTCGTATCATATTAGTTTTCAAATGAATTTAACTTTGTTTTTTTTTGTTTTGTTTTTTTTAAATAAGTAAATAATAACTGACTGATATGACTTGCAGACTGGCCCCTACCGTCTTACATCTTCTCCTCTCACTACTTACAACCAGCAGTTATGGCTCATATGTTTGATGCAGGTTGATCATAGCACTGGTAAGATTTGAAATATGCAAGTTTACATTGTACAAAATTACAATTAAATCAGTTAGCTACTCTTTATATTACTGATTTTGTAAAGATGCCTAATATTATGGTGTGTGTTGTAGTGGTCGACTTTAAGCAGAGTTTTGAGATCAATGTGGAGCTCAAAGGAGTAATGCAGGATGCCAGTGTTATGCACATAAACAATGTCCACCAGAAATCTCGAATGTTGCACTGCAGCACAATTGTGAGTATGCATCTTTATTCTGTTGTTTTCTTTCTTTGTTGCATTACGATTTTCCTGAATTTTTCAGTATGACAGAATAATATAAAATAATCATTCTATTTCATGATTTGTTGTTTACAGTTTTTATTAACTTTTTTTTTTTTTTTTTTTTGACAGAAATGTGATGAAATCATTGTATTACATTTGGGCTTCCTGAACTACACACAATACCAAGTGACAGTTCGTTTCAAAGGCCTTGAAAACATTACCAATGACATTAAGACCAATTTTGTGGTATGTGATTTGTTTTTCAATAACTTTTTGTATATTTGTATTTAAAAGTAAAATGACATATTGTTTTGTAGTGGAAAATGTACAACCCTACTTTCTCTCAAGTGGAGATATGGTTTCGCTTTGTCTTTGTGGTGATGACGTTTGTTGTGACAGTAAGAATTATTTTTAGTTTTTAAGATAAAAATGCCTTCTATTTCTAAACATTTGGTTATTTATTTAACTTTTAATTCATTTCTTTCTTTGTGTTTAAGTGCATGTTTGCTCACTCACTGAGGAAGTTCTCCATGAGAGATTGGGGCATTGAACAAAAATGGATGTCGGTCCTACTTCCTCTGCTTTTATTGTACAATGGTGAGTTGTTTGTTTGAAGCTTGTATGAAAAATCTAACATTAAAAGCCAAATATGTTTTTAAAATTTTATCTTTATAAACATTTCAACCTACCAGAAGACTAGAAACCGTGGTGTAGCGACATTAATGAGATTGAAGACCTCCATTAATACTTTCTTTGTGATCTCTGTAGATCCCTTTTTCCCATTGTCATTCCTGGTAAATAGCTGGTTCCCTGGGACGTTGGATGCATTTTTTCAGGCACTTTTCCTTTGTGCCCTTTTGTTGTTTTGGCTCTGTGTCTACCATGGTATTAGGGTTCAGGTGAGTTCACCCCGAGTTTATTGCTAAGTATTATTATAAAGGTATTAGATAATTGTTTTTTGAAACTCCAGGGGGAGAGGAAGTGTCTTACATTTTATCTTCCAAAGCTAATAATTGTTGGGCTGCTGTGGCTCTCAGCAGTCACACTTGGTATATGGCAAACGTAAGTACTACATCAATACACACACTCAAAATTTGAAAACCCTAATTGTAACTTTTTTTTTTTTTCAGGGTAAATGAACTTCAGGACCCAACCTATCAGTACAAGGTGGATATTGGTAACTTTCAGGTAAAACTATATACTGTTTGGATGTAGGGATATTGATATGTAATAAATCATATAAACAAAAAATTTTGTGGTTAAACTTTTTTTTTGTTTAACTGTGACATATTATATGTATTGCTTTATGTTTTCTTTCAGGGCATGAAAGTGTTCTTCCTTATTGTAGTTTCCCTCTACATCCTCTACCTCATTTTCTTGATTGTCAGAGCCTGTTCTGAACTAAAGAATATGCCCTATTCTGGTAGAGTACATAATAATGTAATTCATCTTAAATTGTATTTATTGTACAGTAATTTTATTTTTTTTTTAAAACTAGATCTCCGGTTGAAGTTTTTGACAGCGTTGACATTTGTGGTTCTGATAATAAGGTATTTTTCCTCAGGCATTTAGCTTGGATGCATTTAAATGATCTCACATTCTATTGTCATTTTTCCCCTTTTTCCCATTTCTCAGCATGGTTATTCTCTACTTGAGGTTTGGTGCCAAAGCTCTTCAGGACAATTTTGTAGCTGAACTGTCCACTCATTATCAAAACTATATCCTTTTACTATGTGGAAAGTTTTTGTTCAGTATTGAAGTATTAACCTTCCTTATCTAAACATACCAGCTGAATTTTTATCTTTCTATGGTTTACTCAACTTTTACCTGTACACATTAGCATTTGTGTATTCTCCATCCAAAAATGCCCTGTATGGTAAGAAATTTTGATTTTACATGTTTGGTATTTTTTTAAAATTAGGAATATTAATTGATGTGATCATATTTACGCTTTCAGACTCCCAGCTAAAGGATAACCCTGCTTTCTCAATGCTAAATGACTCAGATGATGAAGTTATATATGGGTAAGCAAATTAGTTTTAGTTGTGTTTGTTACAGGTCTCCCAACCTCTCTCAATCTCTTTTTGTTGTTTTTAAGAAGTGACTATGAAGATATGCCTTTACAAAACGGGCGTGCAATTAAAGCAACCGCTAAATACCAGGATGAGACTGACAGCGACTGAGTGCACAACCTCATTTTCACCTGTTTCCAATGGATATTTTGAAAAGAGCAACTCTATTATATGTACTGTATATACTAAGTATTTGCACCAATCATGGATGTATTGAATATGTACATAATTTACTATTTTTTAGAAAGACACCTTCTGAATGTACCATCTTTATTTCAGTTTGCCTTTGAATTTCTTTATTGAGTTAAAAAGAAAACAAGAAGACAGGAGTATTTTCACTTGGAATTCTTGATTTTGTATATCGAGCAGTAAATGTACATATTCTTTTCCACTAAAGTTAAAACAAGTTTGGGATGGGTGGCTAAAAATCACAGTTTTGATGCTTAAACTATTGTGTTTATGTACATTGTTTTTCTCAGTATCAAGAGGCTTGAAGCCAAAGTACTCACTTGCATGACTTCTAAATAATTTTCTTAAATTACTAGAACTACTGACATATTTTATTTTTGCACCTTATAAACCTGTGGCCAAGAATCTGCTTTTTAAGTACTGGTAGTCATTTAAGTTTTCTTGTCTTTACAGTTATTTTTTAGAGACTGTATTATATTGAGAAAACCAGCCAAAATCCCCTCTTTGCCTACATTGTTATATGTATTCTAATCAAAAATTGTGCCTTGTTTTTACATTACGAGCGACATTCTTAATCTCTAATGGGTATTTTTTTTTATTTTAAATTTAAAACATTGTGCAACATTGTGGCTTCAGTTTTACCAGTAAATGTGACTTGATGTGAGTTTATAAGCATGATAAGTTGTGCTTCTTCTGTGTAAATAAAAGTTTTGTAAACAATTAATACAAATAAATTTTATTATACAACTCTTATTACACAATACGTGAAAATGTAATTCAAGATAACATGCAAAACATCAAACGGCCAGTCCAAAAACTGTGACGATGCAGTACATCGACTTGTTTTCCCATCTCACTGCACAGCTTCCTGTTCAAGATATAATAAAATTTTATTTTAGGTTTCTCACAGAATAGCACAACATTGAATAATTACCATCAGTGCTGTTATCCCAAAAACATGCATTAGCTGTTTGCAGGCCAGCTCCATTTTTCTGCATGATGACACAGGTTACTACAAAAGTCAAATTAAAAACAACATTAATTCTTTTTTTTTTTTTAAAAAAGAAGTTTTTTTTTTAACTTTTCACTCACCAATATATTTAAAAGGCTTCCCTAGTTTGCTGAGCTGACTAAGGCACTGTTCCACAACGTTGGTTGTCCACTGATTTACCCTGTTGTGCTGGTAAGTATTCCCACCAATGGTTGCTTCAACAGACTACAAAGGAAAAAGCAAAACAAAGGCTGATCCAAAGGACTAGATTTCAGTTATGTTTATCATATTATGTATGTAAATTTTATGATTGTCTGGCAATGAAATTTTCCTTTAATGTTTTAATGAACTATAACAGTGTTCCTCAAGCTATGGTACACATACTACTGGCTTCTTCTGGTGGGACACATCCTCTAATACTTGCTGAATTTCTAGTATGTTTTATGCAGTTTTTGGTCCTCCTTTGGGCAGTTATTTTCTTTGGTTAGAACTCCTGTAGCCATGATGTAGTTCAATTTTAAATATTCATGTTTGAGACCTGGTTTTGATTTGGTTGATCTACTCAGAAAGCCTATTTTTGTCCTGGGTGGTACTTGGTGTGAAAAGTTTGGTATAACACTAGCCTGCTCAGGGACTAGTACTACAGATGGAAAAAAAGCACTAGTGCTACAGCTTGGTACAATGTATCTCTCTATAAGGCTGGCTAATGTAAACTTTGCACTGTGTCTCTGTCTTATTAAATACAATAGATAAACTAAGGCAGGTTATACAAATTCAAGTTGTTCACTAAAGTCGAAGAAGTCACCAGCCACCAGTGTAGTCACACTACAGCAATATGATTTTTGTAACTTAAGCTAATTACAATTTAAAGAGTCAACTATTGTAATATATAAAATAATGTTAATAGGAAATATTTAATTAACTAAAGTTGTGCATTTCTTCTTTGACACAACGCACGCCACGCACGAACTTTGCTTAGCAACCGTAAGAGTCCTTAGAAACAGCTGAGTAAACGTGAGAAATGGTATTATAAATACATAAACCTGTAGAAAAAGCGAGTGAACTGACCTCTTTTATTATTTTGCTAACTTCTTCAACGACAAAGGTTGTCTGTTAAAAGAAGAATCAGAAGTTTGTAGTTAGACTGTAACATTATCGTCGACACCATAGAAATCACCCCATAGCTAGTAACTAGCTGTTGCCAGGTAACGTTTGCTCCATTGATTTAACAACACGTTAGTGGTAAAATACCAAAACAGTGAATTTTATTTAATCAAAACTTGGATAATGTAATATGACAAATACACACTTTTGAAAATACTAACCTCGTCAACCTGAAATTCGTCCATTCTAGTCAGCGGGCGACGATCAGAATCATGGATAGTTCTATGTTCAGGATGCGATCATGGAAGTTGCTTTCGACAAAACCCGGAAACAGTAGGGGCCAGAAGGTTTCAAAATAAATGTGAGTAATTCGCTTGGCTCGGTAACGATAATTATTCGCCATTTACATTTTAAGTAGATTGATAAAATAATAAAAAGAAATTGCACTCGTCTATTTTTTTCCTTTTGTGGTGGTGGTGGTAAACCAAACAAGAAACCCTTGATCCTTAAAGGGTCAAACTGCCCTAACACAGGATCTGCTGACAGTACCTGACCAGTCCTCCTGCCAGTCCTCCTTTGACTGAGGCATGACACGTTTGATTCCCTCAGGATCTCTCTCTCTTAAGCAAAGCCTCTTTAATAATATATTATTATGGTTAAATGAAAGTTCCAAGTAGTAATACTTTTTTATTCAGCTTGTTGCAGAATATGTGAACCCACCACCATTAGGGGAAACACTCAAACCACCAGTATAAGAATGATTAAAACAAATTGGTTAATACAATGTTATTGACTAGCATGACAAAAGAAGCATCAAGTCAGTTTACTGACACATTATTATTACATTTACATAGCACTCTTCTATTCAGATAAACACTGAGTCCGTTATATAAACCACAGCTACTTCTGAGTGATAGGAAATGAGTTTTGATCCATTAATTGTCCCACTCTGTCCTGCAGTGTCTGCACCACTTCTGCGAGTATAAAGACGTGTGTGTCGTCCAAGTCTTTGAGAATGAACTTCTTTCCGAGGGCCATTGTTTCATCCAAGTAAAGCAGGAACTGTTTCATGGCAGGATCACTAGTTCAAGCACAAATATACAGGACAAAAGCATTAGTTATAAACACTTGCAGGGTGTAGGGTTCGTTCAAAACGAGTATAGGGTCAGGGTTCAAAATACCTTGTCCCTTTTAAGTGCATTTTTTTTTAAATTTACTGATAGTTTGGTAAGACAATTGTAGTAAATCTTTACTTGGTTTCACATTAGTCAAAAAAATCCAACAGTCCATGTCCAAATAGGCATTATACTCCTATTCAGCTGCACATTTTCACAAAACATGGAGAATCATGTAAAATCTTTAGTAAAATACCTATTATGTTGACTACCTTTTAGTGAAATGGGTTGTTGCCCCTGTCATGTACTTAAAAATATTAAATATGATGTAATGTTATATGGCAAGATGCCCTCACCATTCAACAAGAACTCCTTTGTGCACGTTTACCATGTTGTTCGATTTGGTTTATGGAGAAAAAAATCCTGCATTCCAAAACAACAAAACAAACAAACAAAAGTAAATCAACGTGTTAGCTTTCTTAGCATTAGCAGAGATCTTTTAATATGAACGCATTTAAGAGTTAGTGTTAGCGTTTTGGCATCGCATAAATGCTATGTGCCAAAATGAAAAGCAAACACTAAACAGACCTTAGAAGCATTCCCAAAATAAATTGGATAAAAAGTGTCGCTACCGTATTTATGTTGGATCGTGATGAGGATACTAGAGCATGTACGGAGACCTTGGAGGGACAATATCAATGAGAGGAACTCTTAATCCGAACTGTCTGACGTACGTACGTAACCAAACCAGACCAAGTTACAAGTCAGAACTGTGCAGCCCAACTCGGTCAGAATACCTTTTTTTTCTACCTATTTTTGAGCTGCAAAGCTAATTGCGAATTTGCAAGGCCGCCTGGGTAGTACTTGGATGGAAGACCACTGGGAATTCTAGGTGCCATAATGGGGCACCAGTGGCAAAAACTGTCGTTGTGTCCGCAGGCAAGACACTTCACCTTCATTGCCTAGTAAGAAACTGGATTGTGCAAGAGTGTTGGTGTTGGTCGGAGGGGCTGATGGCACAGATTTGCAGCCACTTCTGTCAAGTCTGCACCAAGGCAGCTGTGGTTACAATAGTAGTGAATGAACAATGAACTGTAAAGCGCTTTGGGTGTCTTGAAAAGCACTATATAAATGTAATGTAATGTAATTAATATAACCTTCTGTAATTTAATAAATGTAAGTCAGAGTTGTTGAATGCCATATCGTAGAACATTCCAGGCAGAACAGCAACATATCCATAGAAAAAAGCAGGTGACAGGCCACCAACCAAAACCTACATAGTGCACTGTTAAGGTGAGCATTATTAAGTGCAAACAGACATTTATTTAGGATAGTTTTATTTAGAGTCATAAAGTGACTCACATAACTACTCATTTACATATATTCTCAATGACATGATATTCTCTGACAAAATAAATAAAGCAGTTGCAAAAGTCAACCATTTAAAACGAGGGTTAAGATCTGCAATCAATTGGCTATACAATAAAGGGGACCAGCTGTTCATACACCAAGAAAATGGCATCTTAGTTGAAAAGCACCCCAAGTAGGTTAGGTTTAGTATTTACAGTAGAACTTACACACATACATATGTAGTACTAGTCAGACATTTATATGCACAGCCCAAACGGCAGGTTACTGTGGTTTGGGGCATAGAGCTTCCCCTGCTTCAGGCAAACTGGTTTCGTTAATGCCCTTCATGTTAGGAGTTGATGTATTTGTGCAGTGCTTCCTGAATAAACTGGAGGCTTCGTCTGTACAGAAAGGAGTTCTTCTTCTCTGGCTTACAGATGTTTAGATGATCTACATCCACCTCAATGAGCTCTCCAATGCCAAGATCTAAACATGTAAAATAATAATTACAACCAAAATTTTCACTTCCACCAAGACTTGTTTTTAAGGCTGTACCTGCTGATTGAGTTGGCACCACCAATATTTTGATCATAGGGCCAATGTTTGTAGAAAGTGTCTCAGCAAAACTAAGAACTTTAATGTCTTTTTCTTTGACTATGTCCAAAAAGCCCTCATTAAGGTTACGGAGTGCTGGAGAGTCTTAAAGTACAAAACAACAGTGCATTAGTTTCGGACCATTTCTTTGAAAACATTTTATCTTTTCACTGACCTCTGCATAGCTCCCTGACTTCTATTGAAGGGAACAGCAGATATCTGACATTCACCGAGTACTCAGCCATGTAGGTGCCACGATGAGGGACACTATAAAATAAAATTCCTTTGGTGTTTTTTAGCAACTTTTGCATGTTTGGGTCTTCTGCAGCATCAAGGAGCATTTTCTTGACAAGTAGCCCTGAAGATAAAAGGTTAAGAAATTAGTTAAATGACACAAGTATAGTTGATATTTAAACAATCAATAGGCTTAGATAATACACACAGAGTGAATGGGTTCAACAGTATATCAATACAGACATTATTTTTAAATTTAGTAAAAGCAAATAAGAGTAGATAAATACCCCCCATACTGTGTGCGACCCAGACCACTGGTCTTTGTCCAACCCCAGCCTGCTGCAACTTCTTCAGCAGTTCTTGGCTTCTGTAGGCTAATGATTTTCTAAAGTGATGAATGAGAGAAATTATTATGTATTACAACAGTAAAATATGGCAATGTGAAATAAATCAATAGGCCCATTAAAAACATGATTTACAAGAGAAAAGTTGAGGGCTCACCTCTGATTCTCAGCAGGGCACTTGGACATCCAGTCACTGAGATGAGTGTCATATTCCACAGATAACACTCTAATATTAGGACAATCCACTGCCAGCCAAGACTTTATCAAAATAGTATTAATTATCATATAAAAATATTTTTTTTTCTTCTAAGTAAAAGGCATACCTTGGGCCAGCACTCTGTGTAATCATTTCTATGCTCCATTTCGTCTTCCTCAGATGAGTTACTGCGATCTTTCTGTCGCCATGTTTTAAAGGCTGCTCCTAAAATCCCATGAATGAAGAGCACATCTGCTTTGATAGTCTGACTGGAAATAGATAATAGATTATGAAATGGCTGAACTAAATTTAAAATAAAAGGTCGTATATCCACATTGTATACATTATTGTTACAACAGAGCTAACTGCTTTCCTACTTGCCGCGTGTTTGAGGATGGAGAATATATATCCCATCCTGGTATTTCTCCATAACTGTTTCCCTATCCAAATTGGCCAGAGCACGAGCTGCATGTGAGGCTTGCATGACATGAGGAGACTGCACCATCTCAGCCAAGACAGACACCCACCCTAAAGGTATACAAGTCTAAGATGATCAAAACATACTACACTACAAAATCAAAGTAATTATTCCAGGCCTACCAGACTGTACAATGGCTTGGTGAAGATTCTCATTAATTGCCAGATTTCCTATGATGCGAACAATATTTCTTTGAATTTTAAGTGAATCGTTACGAAGCTGGAAAATCTTCTGAAGCAGATGCAGGCCCCCGTTTTTTACAATAGGATCACAGTGACTCTGGACCTATAACAAGAAAACTAAAGTACCAATACTTCAACCAGATCCAACTGGCAATGATCAAATAACATAACAAGAATGTACCTTTGAGTGTTGCACCAGAGCTTGTAAACAAAAGGACTCCACCTTTTCAGAAGGGACTGAAGTCAGGCTTTGGGCATAGGGCAGTCCATTACCACCAAAACACCATAGCCCTCCCTGTAATATTGTACGTACCATTTAATCCGGATTAAAAAGACCAACACAGTTTAAAACACTCATCTACCCGTTGTGCTGCCAAAGATTGAGTGCTCTCCCGCAAAGCCAGAGAAGTGAAGTACTGAACACATTTGTCCACTTCTGACTGAGGTAGAGAGCCCAACAGCTGTCTCAGTCCATCCTCTGCTGACACATCCTATATAAACAGATAAAATGAAAAAGATTATTACAACACTAATGTAAATTGCCATAAAGCAGACACTGGGAAAAATGGTATTATCAAGTAGCAAATCACAAAAACTCTTCTCCCTTCGCATTTAGAGCTAGAGAAAAAAGAATTAAGATGAGCAGGATTCATATGAAGATTAGTTTGCTGCAATCACATACATTGAAGAAAGGTCTAGCCTCACCAATGGCATAAAGTAATAAAGTAATTCAAAGTAAAAAAAAAAAAAAAGGTCATAGCAAAAAGGCTGTGATACATACATCCTGAGGGTTTAAAAGTGCTGGTGGTGGCCTGAAAAAGCGCAGGTCAACTTGAGGAGTCCTGGCCAGACCCACTGCTGTTCGTTGGTCTATGACCTGAGCTGCTGTTTGATACTGATAATCTGAAATAAGAATCAAATCTATAACATTTAAAGACAGGTTTACACTGTAAGCAAGAGGTGGGAGATATATGTTGAAAAATGTGTGGTGTAATGTTTCATATAAATTAGATTTTTCTGCATATTTCTATTCAGTTTTAGAGTAATATTTGCGTGATACATTAACCGCAACCATAACATTTGACAGCGACGTTTTAGAACATTTCTGATAGATTCTATAATCTATGCATTGTGATTGCACACATTTTGTCAATATTGCCCACCTCTACTAGGCACTGAACAAAGAAATATAATGTTACCCTGCCAGTTGTGATTTTCCCCAAGTTCCTGAACAGCCTGCAGACGAACAGCCTTGTTGGCCGACTTTGTCTTTTTCAGGAGGACCCATAACGCCACCTCATGTGGGTCAGCATCCACATGGCGAAAATGCTCTGTTTATATAAAAGGTGGGAGAGTAATGGGTGACAACTCGTATTACACCTTTTTGCCTCAAGAGTAGAAATGCACTACATAAATGTGATAATTTGCATTTGTAAATTAAACTACAGTACGCCACATCTGGTACAAGAGGTGCATAAAGGAATGCCACTCTTAAACAATAACTGCTGAGTCATAAAACCTTCTGGTTCCATGCATTGACTTATCACCACGGAAGCTTTAATCATTAAAAGCCCATGGTTAAAGGTCCTATATGATGTAAAATGGACTCTTGTGATCTTTAAACCATGGTATAAAGTTGTTAACTCTATAATGTTCAACTCGTAAAAAACATATCTAGAGTTCTGTTGAGTAATCCTCCTACATAATTAGTAGGTCTACATCTCCAAAGCTCAAAATGCACTGTTCCACATTGTGATGTCATGTAGTTGTAGTTTTCAAGTTAACAGCTACCTTTTGCCTTTTGTTCAGTAGAGACTGACAATTCCAAAACTGAAATTATCCAAATGTTCTAGTGAAGGTGTATGAAGTTTAAAAAACACAGTGGAGAATTTCCAGTACACTGGAACACAGTGTGATTTGTGATTTGCAGTCTACTAGAATTGACAAAATCACAGAGACACTGTGGTGGTGCCAGAAAAAACAGGATGTGTATATGTAGACAGGTGTTTCCTTTAAACACCGAGCTACAAACTGTTCACTCTATTCCATCGAAGAAGCTAGCAGTTAACAGGTTTTATGGTCAAAATCAAATCAAGAGTTTACCATCAAGAGAATGTTGAAAGAGCCAAGACGATACTTCCAAAAAACGCCTTGCTGCTTTATGTAGCTCCTTTCTTGCTTTTTGTGTAAGTTCTGGAACAATATTATATTGAAACATTAAAATATTAAACCAGTTCACATCCTAGGAAAGCATTATCAAAGTATAGATAGGAATAGAGTGGCAACACAGGGAAACTAAACACCCAGGTATTTACAAGCAAACATTCAGGCTTTTTTAAATATAGGAGACTATAGTTCGCCCCCATAGTCTAAGAACAATCTGGACTATAGTGGCATCATAAATATAACACTTTGTTGCCCATTATATAATCACAACTATTTAAAAGTAACTGCAGTGAACAATTAATGATTCACATTTAAACATAACAAATTACATGAGATAAAATTATTCAAATGAATCTATTAGAAGCACCTACACAGTGAACACTTGCCTGCAGTGAAGTTGTCTTTTTCTTCTGAGGAGACTCCTTTAAGATAAATATAAGATTTGTACTTCTCTTTGATGATAGCACTTGTGTCAATAGTTACAGCTTTGTCCAAAGCGGCCACTTCATATGTGATGAAGAGACAGCCACTGTGTAAAGAAAACTAACTTAATAACTTAAGTAAAACTACATTTTAGTGTAGGTTACATGTTTTGACTGCACCTTACCCTAGGACAACTGCACCTGTTACTTTGGCTATTTTTCCTGAAATAAAAAATGTTGGCCAATATTATTAATATTATTACATTATCATTGACTTATCTTTGATATTAAAAAAACAAAATAAAACATGAAAGTAGCATAATAGCATATTTTATGACTCACTTATCAAGCTTCTCCACTGAAACACTTCAGACTTCGTTGTTGAACTCAGCTTTCGACAGTGAATCAAACGCAGTGCTGCAAAAGACATCCTTCGTTGGCATGCACAAGGACATGAGGCCTGAAAAATATCCATGGTTAACTAGATTTGACAACCTTACGATCTTACAAACCCGGTATTTTAACAGATCCACGTACAAACCGGGTTCTGTGTTAACCTAACGCTAGCTGTTACACTGCTAAATATTTGTGTTGTATCCTATTTAAGCCACCTACAATCTTCACCAACAGCATGTCAACCACAGCAATGATCACAGCAGATCTTCTATATTTATGTTGTCGTATCCATGTGTCATATTTTACCTTTTAAGAATGAACGACAATTAAAAGTCTGTTTTTCCAGTAGCAGCGCCGAAGTCGACCCGGAAGAAAGTTGTCTCACAAATAATACGTCACGAAATGTGCCACCGCCTCCTCCTCTTTTCTTTTTTTTTTTTTTTTTTTTTTTTTTTACAAAAAAAAAAAAAAAAAAAAAGACTCTTGTAAATATGTGTGTGTGTGATCAACGTACATCTCTCCAACTTCACAGTGTCTTCGAAGAGTGAGTACTTAAAACAATAACTGATCAGACAAAACAGTTTTAATGCTGTAAATACTGATCCTGATTTAACTGTAAAATTATTTCAGCCATACCATGGATATCTATATATTATGAATTAATAAGAAATACTTCCACGAGCCTTATTCCAAATGTGAAAACGCACTTTGTTATGTCATACTTTGCAAAACAACCTTTATTGACCAAACAGCCTAAACATCATTTATCAAGCAATCATTATGTACATCATACTTAATAGCGGCTGCACTCATAATATTTGCACATAATTTTTACGCTTATATAGGATGATGTAGGATCTGTCACATGATTCTTAAATTATATGACAAAAAAATTCACCAACTTTTCTTAACATAAATAACTTCCAACATTGTACATTACAGAACACAGTTAATTCAATAAATGCATATAGTGTAAATGTCCCATAACCATTTCTTTCTCTGCTCTATCTCCTCAGGTGCTTGTCTCCTGATAAGCTCGTATGATGCTCTCATAAGCTGGAGGTGGTGTTTGCGTAACATGGAAACCTCTCAGACTTGTGTTTCCCCAAAAAGACTCAGGTCTGGACGGATCAACAGCCACCTGCCCAGAGGCTTGAGCTGTCCCTGTGGAGGAGGTCAAAGCTGGGGTACGTGGAAGTGAACACTGGCTCCCCTCCTCTGCCTCTCTTGCAATTTGGCTGCAATGGAGCAAAGGGTGGAATGTAGATCCTCTAAAACTGGATTTGTACCCCAGTGGGTCCATTTGATCAGGGAAAGAGCTTTGGCGTTGGAAGCTAAAGGCAGCTCCCAGTAAGTTGTTGTTACTGCGGCGATCATAGCTGTTGTTGCGTTTGAAATTGGGGCGCGAGCGTGAAGAGGTGCGGGATTTGCGAGAGGTACGTCGTGTGATGCTTGCAGAGCCCGCCTTGCGCCGTGACATCCAGGTTAGGAGCACATAGATCACAGCACCCAAGACTAGACCCACAGCCACCGACACACAGAAAGCAATAATCAGAGGCACTATGAAAACAACAAAAGAAATTATTACAAAAAAATAATACTTAATCATCAATAGGCAGTGGTCAGCATGACAACACAAGAGATATTCAACTAAAATGCATGTAACTAAAATCTTTGTAGTAGAATTCAGTCCACAGCAATTCTTTTTTGTAAGTCTTTGGGGAGAATTTTTTTAGAACATTGCTTTTGACATGGAACAAGTCCCTAATAACACCATTTCCTCTTTTACAGTGCTAAAAATAAGTGCCAAAACATTACAGAGGGAACAAACTATTTCATCTGTGCATTACTCACAGATACAGTTTCTTTTTTAGGAAGAACCAGTGCCAATAAGTTTATTGAAAAGCAAGACAAGAATGCAACAGTTAGAACAAACCCATATGGCCTCACGCCAACAAAAACAAACACATTTTCCTTCTATAACACCACAACTATGTTGTAGTTTTAAGGGTTGTAAGTTAACAAAAGCATTTGTGCATTTGAAATCTTGTTCAGAAACATATCTTGTTTCTTATAATGCAGAATACTAATTGCATTTAATTAGCCATAATTAAAGCTTGTATTCCCAGAAGGACATATCTTGATTCTAAAACGAAAACCACAAGAAAAAGTCAAAAACTCACCTGCATCATAAGACTGAAGTATTTCCAGAAAGATATTTGTGTTGTTCTCTGCCATGACTTGGTTGCCTGTGTCAGAGAAGAAGACAGTTTTTATAGCCTGCTTTTCCTCTCCCAACTTCTCATTTCTCCTTTGAAAAAAGCATGCGTCGCTTTAAACATCTGATGGATTTTCCTGGTCTTGCGTATGCTCTCCAAGTCCCTCTTAAGGAGCCTCCGACCAAAAGAAATGTGCTGGACAGAGAGACAATCCTTTGTGGAAGTTGGAAAACCACACTGTCACATTTCCGGCTTGGAAATACGGCCACAGGAGTGGCTTATCTATTTGAGACAGAGATCCTGGAGGTGGGGTAACTAAAGGGTGTTGCTAAAATCACATCCTTAGCCATTATTTCCTTTGGAGTTGATAAATCACCCAGTACGGGACCCCAGTTTATCTTTTACCTAATAGTTTATGTTACTGAAACCAACAAAACAAATGACTCTAAACCATATGTCATCTGGATCTAACATTAGTGAATATTTAAGATGCTCCTACTTGTACTTATACCACAGAGACCACAGGCATCTCATACGATCGGCTAAACCAGCTGTTTTTGGTCTTGAGAGGAAAATATTAAAATAGGCCCAATAGCCTAAAACATTAAAACAATAAACAATACGGTGATTCTCTAAGAATCTTCCCTTACTTTTTCCATATACTTTGCCTGAGGACCAGTAGTTTCCTTTGGATAAAACTATGGTTTGATATTTTTTGTGGTTTTAAAGTGTTGTGTATTCTGCCTTACAGTGAATCTGATGTGCAATGTCATCATTTTTGGTCTGCAAGGAAGGATATGGATATTCATTCAGTACTGGTATGCAACCACAGCAGCATCAAGTATAAGTTTAGTCCTTCTCAAAGTCTGTTCAAGATATTATTTCTGGTACTCAGCCCACTTTTGAAGTCCACGTTTTGATTTACCTTAACTACTTTAACACTTAGTACCTAGTTAGTACCTAGTACCTAGAGCCATAATGCTTAGAACTGTACAATACTGTTGGTTTTAAATTTAAATGTATACATTTGACCATGACTTGTCCGTACCACTGTTTAGTCAATTTTATGCTATTCAATATGTTACTAAAAGCAAGTATAGCATGTCATATAAAATGACAAACATAATATCTCTGTCCTTACTGACCCTACTAACATTTCCTTTGATTGTTAAAGTAGCTGTGAAACCTGCCTGTATATCCAACAAAAACACAACAATCAGTCTAAGAGTGCACATGCTGTCAAGAGAAAGGTCACTGGTGAGGACATTGGACTACGTCATTGGATTTTGTTTTAACTAAATAAAATTCCATAGTTATGTTATATGGACTCCACAAATATCTACAGCATATCTTTCTTGAAAATATCATTTCAGTAATGATATGCTGTTATAAGATAACAAATTATGAATGATTTAGAGAAACTTTTTTTTCTAGACACATCAGTTTACAGATACCATGCTTATGGTACTTATTTTTTAGTGTTAAGAGCAGTCTCACTTCAGTAATCTTCATCTTCCTTCTTTTACAAAGACTTCATTTTGATGCTGTCATGATGTGACACATTTGTGTGCCACTCCCATAGATATTTTTTTTATTACTAAGTCAATCCTTTGAAAATACATAATTATGCAGGTTATAAAATGTTTTGTCCATTAACATCAAATTCTAAATCAGATTTCCAGGTACTCTTACTCACCACAAGATGGAGCTGTTGCTTAGATTATTGATAATGATAACTCCAGTATTACCACTTAGATTAATGTATTGTTTTAACATTATTAACAACAACTATTACGCAAGAATTATTTTTGGCAAGATTAACATAGCGTTTTACCAGTCATGCTTAGAGTGCTCAACTTGGCCACTTCTTTTACATTTCAGGTCTATCTATCTATGCACAACATGCTCTGCAGAAGTTGGTTGATTTTGTTATTTTGTGGGTTTACAACAGTCTTCTCTGAGATTTTGCAAACATGCTGACTGTGTAGAAGGAGGATTACCACTTTGCACCACCTGTATATGCTCTCTGCCTGTGCAAAGATTAGATAAGAAATGAATTGTAACGGTGCTACTGGGTGCAGTCTCCATTGACCCACATGCTTTGTCTCCCTCACCTCTTTCACTTTTCACTGCGGCATGTCTCCACTTTCTTTTGCTGAATGTGTTTGGTCCTCGGGGACTTCTTTGAACCGTAGGGGTGACCTCGGTCCGAGCTAACAGCATCGGAAAATGTCCGGATCAGCAGTCCATGCTGCTGCAGTAGTCAGAAGAGCAGGCCTGTTTAAATAACTGTATTGGCAAGTCAGGCTCTTGGTTAGGATGTACTGGAACTTCTAAATATGTACTATAGTGTAAAGAGAGAGTCATATTTAAGCCTGCATAACTTGTGGCATGTAGGACTAAATCATTTGTTTTAGATTTAATAATTTATTTCTTTAATTATTCATAAACTCTCCAGTGTATTTTATTTAGCACAATATTAAGGCTCAACTGAATGGATTTTCAATATCCATTAAAATGCAAAACTAGATATGTACTTGAACTGATTTAAATATGCATATTCACGTTATCAGGCCAGCATAGCAATGTATGCAATGTGAAGTATCTTTCCTTATATTTTAAACTCTCTTTTATTTGATAACATTTAAAACTAAATCTAATCATAAACCTGGATAAATGCTTGAGGATAGGATGTCAAAACATTGCTTAATGGTTTCCTGATGCCAAAATGAAAATGCATCTAAAACCTCTTCTAAAGCCCTTCAAATAGCGGAAAGGTCAAAGGTCATAATACTTTTAATGCAATAGCACATAAAATGCTCCGCCAAGCTTTAATTTACCTGTTAGTGCATTTGCATGAAGCCATTACATTAATTAAGTAAAAGCAGATTTTGTCCATTATCATAATCTCAGTTAACTAAACCCAGTACGTTTCTATTCAGTATTGAGTACCAATGGACAGCAGACATCATTTATCACCTTTATATTTCTCATTCCCAGTGTTCCATTTCTCATTTCAATGAATGACAGAGTGGCCGGACGTCTTCCTCCAGTTCGTCTAAGAGCTCTCTGGAGATGATGATAAAAGGACTTGTCTAATGGGATTACACCTCGCGATAAGTGCTTTGCGTCCACTGCTCCATCTCACCTCTCGCCTACATTGAATTGATCTACTATGGCCTAGTTTACAGTGAAGGTTTGTAGATTTATTGTTGCCATTTTTTGATATATTGATATATTTAGGTTCAAAACTTGCAGACATCAGCATATTTTCTAAACTGCACTATATTTGAAGCTGATAGATGTCATTGCACAAGATTGATTGCTCCATCTAATCAGAGCTGCAGGTAAAGAGGATGTGGTAGGAGGTAAATTTAAACAACGGTCAATAAACAGTCAATAGGAGAGTAAATCAGGCTCGACTGAATAATAGGGCCACTAATCAACTCGTGAATTGTCATAATAAATATGAGGTAATTCCTGACAGTTGGTTTGTTGGGCTTACAGTAAAGTCTGTTTCTCTTTTATCTATCTAGGTTTGGAACCGCCCAAACCGAATACAGGATATTTGCAGATATATTTATATAGATATGTGTAACTGACAATACTGATAGTTTGAAGATAGTAATCTAGCACATGTACAATAGAATAATCCTCCAACTAGGCACACTTGACCATGGCAAGACCCTTACACAATCTTAAGATGTGTGTAAGGGTCCCCAGGCCTATTGACAGGGTTACAGAGGACAAATTGCCATTTAGGGACAATAATATGTAACTTAGCTACCAACTAACTTAACTTCAAGGTAATGCATTAATTGCCAGTAATCATTTTTTTACACATTAAACTATGTATTTACATAATTTAAACTTATTTTGTGAGTATCCAACAAATACTTCTCAACCATTTTGTACTGCGCACCTGTCTTGCAGCTCAGCAGACCTGGCTTTACATCTGAAGTCCTATTGGTGCAGATGCCGCACCGATGGACACACCAATCTCTCTGATTGGATGGTGCATGTGGACCAGGAAGCAGTGAGATCAGACTCAGGAGCAGGAGGGGCTGATTCACACAAATGTCCTCCCACATACACACACACAGATAAACGCACTTACCTCATTGCCAGGGGAGGAGCTGTGAGTGCAGACCGCTACAGACTGCAACAGGGATGACTTGAGAAACACAACAACAACATGGACATAGTCACTTGTACCACCAGCTCATGTAACAGCTAGTGCTACCTGTGAATAGATTAAATGGATGCAGATTTGAAGATGGGAGCACTGCGGATTTGATGTACTGGAGTTTGGACGTGACTTTGTTGACCTCTGTCTGGACATCGTCATGGCATCTCCAAGACACTATGGTCACTCTCCCCGGCACATTGCCAATGTAATGCAGAGGCTTCAAGGTAAGACTTAAAGTGCATACTCACATTTTTAGACTTAGAGGTGACCTGACTCTAGCATGACACAGCAAAACAACCACTGAAAATTGCAAATTGCTTTTCTGATTTATTATGCTTTAATCAACTGTGAAAGTGCAATCAATGGTGTAATAGGATCGAAGCTGGGTGGCATCTGCAATGTCACATGAGACAAATGTGTTAACAAGTATGCAGTGTTTAACATTAAGTTGCTAGTTGTGCATTCTGTTCAATCAGGAATTGTTTGAGACCATGTGATGAATATGAATACAGCAGTGTCTTTGCACATAGTTGTGGAAGAGTTTGAACATTTGGTTGCCTGGCAATTTGTCCACTAGGCAAGTTTTCTAAAGAGGGCATTGTTAAACACAATGAACCAATTTCTATATACAGTATTACATACAGCTGATGGTGCATTTTTGTCATGCTCTGATGCTTATAGACTTGAGGATGCAAGTCAGTCAATACTGCAGTAGGTGTCAGTATACTAATGCGAAAGAAGAGGACTGGGATATTAACTTATTAAATAGACTTCTGTTTTCTTCAATCAGGCATTAAACTAGTACTTAGCACAGAATGCTCTGACACACAAACATAACTTAACAACTTTGACCATATCTTTCCTTTCTTTTTGCATAGGATATGAGTGCTACCTATTTGCCTTATAGATGTCAAGTGACCTAACAGAGTCAACTCCCCTGCAGCATCCACTTTATAATCAGCAAGTGTAGCTGATTAGTATGCAAAGTGCAGCTGGTGAGTCAGGTGATATGAGAGCGTAGATCCAATATGGCCGCTCTGTGTGCGGTGTCTGAGGTGGCAGTTTCTGTGCGAGCGCAGCGTCAGAGCCATGTGACTGCTCTGCATCAGGCTGTGCAGGTGTGAGTGCTCTCTTTGGATCCCGACCGCTCGCTGCCATTGATCTAAATTTAGACACTTAGCTCGAGGCAGTGCAGAGGGAGACAATACTGATGGATGAGCTTGTATTTACCCAAATTTGGAGACAAGCTTCTCACAGCCAGTGCTTTCACTTCAGCCACTATGTTGATTGGAATACTTTTAATCTTCTGTTTGAATATTACTGTCTCTAAAAAGTGGAACCTTTGTAAATGCTTTTGACTGCACAATATATTCAAGTTTGATACAAACTTTTGCATGTATACATACATAGAAATTTTATAAATATAAAGTAGATAATTAAATTTTTTGCATAATGCGGCTTTAATATTCTTACCCATTTTTGCTGTATAAATTAATCCTGAATGCATCTACCCTCCCCACATGTTGCAGTGTTGGACACCTGAACTACATCTGATTCCTTTCTGTTCAGATGATTGCATTAGCTTATTTACAGGGCCACGCTGAATCTAATTTGAAGTGACATTTCATTTGATCCTTTATTTGCCCTGGCCTGCAGTCCCGGGAGACTAGCACAAAACCACTTGTGGTGAATCAAGACTTGAGGGTCGTGAGTATGAAAGCTAATGTTTCTATTAACATGAAACAGCCCTGAACATAGCTGGAACATACACTAAACATGTGTTACTGTGATGTTTGTATAGGGATTGTCCCAAGTGACAATCCCAAGTGATGTAAATTCAATCATTCTGGTTAACTGCTTCTCATCATAAGAATGTTTTAAGTGGATAGCTTTTAACTGCTATTTTTTCCTAGCTCGATGCAACCCAATTTTCCATTACTTAGCTGTTAAATCTAATCTGATGCCATTTGTCCATAATTTGAAGCCTGATTACTTTCAAACATTACACCCTAAATAGAGTCACTGTTTTTGAATTATACGGAATAAGGTCCCCTCTGGCTAGCAATACCACATCAAAACTAGTACCCATTTTTAAATCATGATTTTTTTAGTTCTTTTCTTATGCTTTTTGGTGTGCCTGAGAAAAACAGCAATTAGTGACACCATATGGCAATGAATGGTGCAGCCACTTTGAAACCCATCCCAGATTGAACCAGTCCATATGCTGTGGAATTTGCCCGTTTGTTGTCACTCGTTAATGAGAGCTCTTTGCCGGACTGGGTTTTCCTCACCTGTTTTTGCGGTGCGTAGGTGTTAGAGGCGCACAACTACGCCGCCTACACCTGGGGTTTTTCCGACTTATTGTGTACAGAGAGCACCTGGTGGGGTTTTCAATGCGTGGGATGGAGGATTTTTGAATTGAGTGGAGCAGGCACCTCAGGCAAATAAGAGGTGAAAGACCAGTTGCTTTTAGAAAGAGTGATGTCTGTCTGCATATAAAAGATATTGAGGTGAAACAGGGACCAAGAATAGTGTTCTGTCTGCAGGCATCTTGCAGATCAGCATTTTTACCCACATGTTTGCTCATATTTAGTAGAGAATATATTCAACTCAGCTTGATATATCAGTCAGTGGTCTGCCTCTAAAACCCAACTATATAATGTATGTTCTTATAATAACATATTGAAAAAATATTGTATAGGTTTGAGAATCTGAGTTAACCTATGCTCAAATGTAAATCTAAATGCCAAAAGTCATATTTAACTTAATGCATGGCATATACAATATTGTGATTCTTGATGTTAGCAAACAATACATATTTGTTAAGGCTTTATACCTGTTTTAAATGCCATTTGCAAATCATATTCAAAAAGGTTTTATTTATTTGCATATTAGACTGTGAACAGTTAAGTTGTATGCTTGACGATAGGTGTGTCTAAGCTACAAAGAGAGCAGAGACAGCAGACAGGACAAACAGAGGGAGCCCATACACCAGTTCTAATGTGTGCGATCGCTGGTGGGACCCCTCTCCAAGTTGGCACAGGGCCAGAGTGGCATCCTGTTGCCAGGGGCCACATTCTGGTCCAGCTCAGGCCCAAGCAGACGGTCACCTTGAGCCATGCCAGCCTCCTGTTTAGATCTGACAATGCCATTTATCCTCTGCAGCACTGGATACCACACTCCACCACATGGAAGCAAACTCTTCAAAATAGCTGCAATTTGAGCTGCACTAAATTAGAGGAAGCATATGTCAGTTACCACTATGGTGAACACTGAATACTGTCATAACAATTTGACAGACAGCATTTGGATTATTTATAAACGATAAAGTACAATGAGCTTTCAGACTGCTGGAGCTTTGACTCTGGCTGCAAGTGGAATGTTAAAATTGGCCCACCTGGGACTTTTTTCACTCACCATGTTTTTCACTCACAGCATACATTATTGCTGGTTAAGGGTATAGCCATGCTTTCCATTTTAAGCTAATTCTTACTGTGAAAATTGTTCTATGGGTAATTTTTACTCTCTCAAATGCTGCCACCAGGAGAAAGATATTTGTAAGTGGAGAAACAGAGATAAACCCAGTCCAGTAAAGCTGTCTGACCATTTACACAAAGCCATTACTTCTGTGCTGAGAGTGAGGGAACACGGGTTTACTTTATAAAAGTACGGTGCAATATATGGCAATGTGGCTGTACTAGCAAATGTAATATTTTATCATGCAAGAAATGACTAAATTCTAAGAACTCATAACTCATAAGGATAAATATAAAGAGTAGGTATTTTACTTCTGTGGTGTATTAATTGATAATGCATAACATTTTAGATAATCATGTTATTTTTTATTGTTTTGAAAATGCTATATTCACCAAAAACAACATGTTTGCTCATTGCGTTAATCACTCCCCCTTCAAAGTGATATCACTTTACAATCAGTGTGGATTCCACTAATTAAACTACAACTACTTTTGCATCATGCTTTTGTATATTTATGGACTAATGTCATAGGCTTGAGCATTGCCCAGATTCTTACAGCTGAACATGAGGAGAGTTCGAATAGGGCTTTGTAGACACTGCTAAAATACAAAATACAAATGCATGGGTGACATCTAAAACCTCTACAGGCATATTTTTGATGTGGGAACAAACTGATAAAATTGTAGAATGCTTCAACAGGTAAATTTTTACCCCTTCTTCAAATTATCAGAAGTTTATACTTAATAATGACTTCTAAAGCAATACTATATTCTGGACTCACTGGTCAAAACTAGAGCTCTACAAAAGTCAAGACATTTTGTGGCATGTTGGTTTTTTTTAGTGACTGTATATATCAACAAGCCTAGACCACTACAGCATTATTGAGCTGCAACACTGTTTTTATCACTTCCTCATTTCATCTTTACCAATGTTTATGAGCTGTTGCCATAGCGATTGGTGCACATGACATCCAGAACTTGCCCTGTCTGCCCCACAGGCTTATGGGTAATGTCTGGTTCTGCCTCTGTTTCAGTACATTGTGTTTGATAAATGTGTCTGAGTGAATGTGCTGGTTGTATGTTTCCAGCCTTCAGCCACACATCAGTGACAGATCAGATTATAATCTCTTTAACCTGATGCTCAGAGAGGAGGTGACTGACACATCACAAAATGAGGCCACCGGAGGGGTCCTGCCCACACAATGAGACGCTGTCCCCTGACACCTACTCTGCAGCCTTATGTGATCAGACAGGGTGATACTGATATCACTTGAAATAATTATTCTAGTATATTGTTAAAATCGTATTCTTTTCATTTTTTCACTTCTTTTTGTATAGCAATCATAAGTGTAAGCAGAAATTACTTTAGTTGTTGAAAAATGTTTTATTTCTGTTTGTTTTTGTTTGTTCAGCTTGTTATTTGCCAGTGTAAACTGGCAGAAAAGTGACATGGTACATATTACAAATAATTGTTTTTTCAGTTGCACAGTTTCTTGCTTTCTTTGCATTGCAACAGGAAAGTAAAATTCACCTCTGCTCAGGGTAGGATTGGGGTTTTATATGCTACTGAACATTACTTGGACCTTGGTAACACTTAGCTTTAAAGGTCCTGTATTACACAAAATTTACTGTTGTGAGCTTTAGCCATGTTATAATGTCTTCCTCAAAAACATACTGGTCTGTCTACATCTCCAAAGATCGAAATGCTGTTTCACCTTGTGATGTCATGAAGTCGTGGTTTTCAAGTA